TATACTTTTGTTGAATGTGTATACATATTTATGTACACAGAAAAATTCTTTGAGTACGTATTTAAAGGCAACTAACTGTAAATTTTGGAAGCAGGAGTGGCATCCTCCGGAAACCCTATAAACCTGGAGAGAGGATGAGAGACACCCGAACATTGAGGACTCTCCTTCATAGGGTCGCTATGAGTCGCCTGCGACTCGATGGCAATTAACAACAACAACAACAACCGTAAATTAATAAAAGCTGAGGTGTTTATTTTTGTTGTTTGTATTCTGATTTGTTAATGTGCATGACTTTTGTGATGAGAATAAAAAAATTATTCTTCATCTGTAAAACATATTTTTTATAGAATACTGAATGCTCTGAAACTACTGGTTATGCAATCATTAGAAATTAAAATAAATTACATCTATTCTTTTCAAAGAATGCACTGAATTGAATAACATGAGTGAAATGAAAAGCAAAGAAATAATTATTTAAACTAAGAACTTACACAACCGGTTGTGGCGGCTGCTGAGTGACAGGAGCACTGACGTAAGCTGCAGGCGGTACTCCCAGGACCCCGGGACCATCTTTGAAAAAGAAAGAAAACAGTCACTGCACAGTACCCAGTTAATAACTTTTGGTTTATCCCTACAGTAAAAGGCAACAATGAAAATGTCACCTAAAGAAAAGGATTAGTATTTCCTTCTGAATTAGGAATCAACAACCAACCAAAAGGTTCCTTTTTAAGTGTAAATGAAAAATAACTATGAAATATATGCAGGCTTTAAAATGGAGCACTTATTAAATCAATAAATATGTAGTATCTGAGTGAGTTAAGGAAAGCCGCACTTTTCTCATTTACATATTTAGCTTACACAGGAACCAAGATTCCAGATTGAACGAATTTTCCAGATTTAATCACTGAAGGGAAAAAAATAGTACTCTTCAGACAACTTACAATAAGCAAGACTGGGATCCAAAGGATTCCTGGCCCCATAAAAATAATAAGCATCATCATAAGGAGTTCGATAGTTTGTAGTCAAAGGTGGTAGTAAGGGAGGTGGAGGCAGAGGTGCAATCCTGTATTAAAATAAAATTGAAAAAGTCTTCTTACATTTCATTGTAAAGCTTTTAAAAAAATCAGGATATTATTTTGCAAACATGTTAGTGAAAATCCATCAAGTGCTTTAGCTAAGTCACTCAACTTTGCTCCAATCGTTAGTCAAAACTCATGATTCAAAAAAAAAGAGTATGACATATTAGAATTGCAAGTATAACATTTATGTATCACAAAACCTTAACATTCAGTAATTACTATGAGCCATGATCAAACATAGTCCCTATCTCAAGGGAATAATACAGAAATATGCAACAATTTTCACAGAGTACACTAAACAATATAGTATCAGATACAGTATTCTATAAGAACATAGAGCAAACATTTCAACTGCACAGCGTGGGTTCACCCTGTGAATTGGTTATGATGTGGAAGATTTTCTGAAAAAACACTGCTACAGTTATCAGAATGAGATAGTCAATAGCTATAGGGAAAGGGTGGGCCATGAAGAGAAGGCAAAGAGCTACAGCAAAGCATGATTACAAATGCCTTCATTTGAGGAAAGGATGAACCTTTTTTTAAACTGTAAAATGCACTGCTCTTTCAAAAGAATTAATACATTGACAATGACAAATTTTGAAGTATTCATAAATCCAGAACTTCTGAAAAGCGTTCTATTCTTTCTTAAAAAGTAAGACCTTTACTTTCTCATCATTAGAAGTCTGAATTTCAATTAGTTTCTTAAACTAGTGGCTCACAGCCATCAGTCCGCTTGGCTTTACCATGGTCTCATCTCCAATAGCTTCTCCAGAGGTATACCTTCATCATGAAGCTCCATGCGTTTTCCCAATTCAAACTTGGACTTCTTTGGCCTTTTCACTCCAGATACGTCACAGAGACAATAAACACATTGACACACCTTTTCTAAGTTCTTCCCAATACTGTCTGCAATCAATTTACTGATTACTTTTTTCAAGTCTGTGTCAGCATTTCTCAGGTCATAATTTCCATCATTTTCTTCCAGATTTGTTGGCGTTAGTACTGCGGACCCTAAGGGATCTTCAATCTGATTGTTTTGATTTTTTAGTGAAATCAACAAATGAAGCTCATTTGTAGTCTTGCTTGACATTAACATGAGTTTCAATCATGGTCTGCTTTTTTTTTTTTTTTTGAGCATGGACTGTATTTTGCCAAGACTAAGATCTATGCCATGAAAATTGGTCAGCTTCTGCCTTGAACATCCTCAGTGATTAGTCTGAATTTTCTAAGTGAAATACCATCATATCATTTTCACGTTCATCAAGACTCACTTCAAACACACTAGCATTGATTCAACATGAAGGCGGAGGTCGATAAACTGGAACTGATGTTCCAGAAAGTGGACTCTGATCTGGACTGCATTCTATACAGGCTGGAATATAAAATTAAGAACAATCATCCTGATTCAGCTGGCGAGAAAAATCCAGTTATACTCTTGAAGGAATTGTCAGCAATAAAGTCTCGCTATCAGACTTTGCATGCACGCTTTAAACCACTTGCTGATGAACAGAGACTAAGGGCCAGATTTGTGTTACTTTGAAAAAGACTATGACTATGATACAAGAACTACAAAAGCTAACAGACCTAGAGTTGTCACTACTGACTGAAGAAGAGAAAACTTTGGAAAAACAGTTTAAGTCTTAGATGCCAGACTTGTGAAGAAACAGACTTGCAAAATAGAGGACTCAAACAGATCCATTCCAGAATCATTTAGGAAGATGGATTCCCAACACTTACTGAAGCTTGGGTGGATGACTGGATAGTGATCCTTTTTAAAGGACAGACAGAGAGGAAAGGCAGATACGTGGGTAAAGCATAAATAAATACACACACACACACACACACATTTCCACTTAGTCTTAACGTTTCAAGTAATAAAATCTTTAAGCTATTTTTAATCAGTTTTCTTTAGACTTAATCAAGATGTATAATATGGATGTCTTGGTACAATGTTTTCATACATTATTAGTCAAACTATACTTCCAAAATAAAAAATGTTTGTGTTGTGAAAAAGAAAACCACTACCATTAAGGTATGCAAGTTGGTACTCTGAGTCTTTTTGACTAATTTTTTCAATTTCTTCTCATACTGAAAAACTGGTGCTTTCACATCATAACCAATTTTCTTAGAAAATGGATCAACTATTTTCTTCTTGGCTCTTGTTCTGCTCCCTTTTGCAAAGTACTTCTTCTTGCTGACCACGATGGTGTCTGCTCAGAGAGTCACAAGAAACATACCCCAAATGAGAACTAAGGTGCATTGAAAACCACTATTTTAGCATTAATTACTGCTTTGGAAAATACATCTCTATTTCCACTTGTGTAGTATCTTCCAATAGTAAAATGACAAAAGGCAAATTTCTTTAGCAGAAAGGAGAACAAGCTGTCCTAGAACATTTTCACTTTTGAGGCTTAACAGACTGAAATTGACTCATTGTTGACCCTCCAGTAGGTCTTCAAAGGTTGTAAATAGCATCAGAGGAGAGTGTCCATCCTTCTGAGGAGGAGCTGGTGGATTCAAACCACCGATATTTGAATTGGCAATGCAACTTCCTACTCACTGGGCTATGAGAGAGTGTTCTTCCTTGGTGTATACTTCCAAATAATTATCCGTAGCTAACAAGGCATTAAATTTCTCTTAACTGGTGAATATTTAAAAAAACACTTCTAGTCGCTCAGTGTAACTTATCCTAGCCTCACCACAAAGTATATCAAAGCAGTTTAATAACTAAGTGTGTGTGTGTCTGTGCGTGTGTGTCTGTGTGTGAGTGGTCAAATCAGATCCAACTGGCACAGGAGGAGATTGCCCCTCTTTCTCCAGCAGAGCATCTGGTGGATTAGAATGAGTAACTTTTTTTTTTAATGAATAACTTATGGAAGTGAATAGTCATCATCATTAAGCCTTAAGTTCTTAAACATGTTAGATATAGATATAGATATAGAGATAGAGATAGATATAGATATATGTATAGATATAGATAGATATAGATGATATGGATATAGATATAGAGATAGAGACAGAGATAGAGATATATAGATAGATAGTGAAATCCCTATGACAACTCTGTTATTATAGTTAAGGGAGAAAATATTATTATTCTAATTTTACAAATGAGAAAATTTCCACACAGGTGTGAACTGTCCAAAATCAAGACCGTAGAAACAAGTGTTTCAATCCCTAAACAGCAGAGCAGGTATTTCAATCAGATGCTAAGACAATCCTTGCCAACATTTTGAACTGAGAAGCCACCAGATGAAACAAATGATCTGATAAATACAGTAAATACAGTTCAACAATTTATTAGTAGTAAATAAAAAACAAGAACAAGTCTTAGTGAGAGAAGAAAATATAGTCCAGAGAACAGGATGGTAAAAAACTGTAGGGTAAAAGAAGTCTGAATTTAATACACTCTTATAATCAATACATTAAATATTGAGCAAAAAATAAATCCAAGTATTACCAAGAGAAAAAAATTAAGCACAGAAAATATCAATGTTACCAACAGGGCTTTATGTATATATCATCTAGTGATAGCATTGATAGAGTCATCAGCATGATGATTTCCACAAGCAGAATCAAATCTTTTCCATTAAACCTAAATTACAGATGTACAGTCTCAACACTTTTAAGTTATATAGCCCCGAAATAATCACAGAGAACCAAAGGAAAGAGAAATTAAAATGAAGTCATTTATAAGCACAAGCCACGTTAGAAACTTTCTGCATAAATTAAAAAACTCAATGTTTGCCAAGTGGAAATTACAAAGCTGAAGAAAATGTACGGCTTTTTTATATGTTGCAAGATCTTAGAAATAAATATCTCAAAATACAGCCTAAAATGGAAATGTATTTTGCGATTCATTCTGAAAATAATAAGCATTCTGAAACAAAGAAATGTCAAAAAGATTTCCATTGGTTTTATATTAGCAGAGAAAAGAACACCGTGAAAATAAGAGAAACTATCTGACAAAGGTGATTAGGTGTACAAAATCTCTGAATGGTATTACCTGATTCAGCACCTTCTTCCACACACAATACATTACCTAGTTCCCAAACACAAAACAGTGTAAACAAGCACCTGGGAGGCACCATTTCACCAAGTGTGCTGTAGAGTCCAATATGCAAATCTTCGTCTTGTGCTGGGGCAGAGTGAACTGAAGGGACTGGTGGGACAGATGAGGTAGATAAAGGAGGGAGAGGTGTCTGGAAAGCTACTCTGGCTCTTTCAGGTGGTATCATATCTTCAAGGTTTCTTGAAGTCATACTAAACTGCTTTAATCTATCAGGCTAGAATAAAGAAAAAAATCTGTTTGTTACATAAAATATAAAAACAGGCAAAGGAAATTCAAAAGATCCTCTTGTACCTATCTGCTGGCCATTTGTCTGTTAGTCAAAATAACAGAATTTTATAGCTAGCAAAGATTTTTGAAGTTCTAATCCTTGGTATAAATGAAGCTGTCCAAGAAGAATATAAATTACCTATGGTCACATAAACAATAAATCAAATAAATACTAGATCCAGGTAATAATTCTAAATATAGTACTTTTACATTCTACTATATTAGTATGCTATTTCTACAGCCAATTGCCATTTCTGATATGAAGAGTCTCTAGAATAGATTTCAGCACTTTCAGTAAAAGGCCAAACCGTTGACATATAAAAGCTTTGCAGGCCTGAAGGTCTTTAAAAACTATTCAACTCTACTGTCACATGAAAATGAGTAAGGCAATAAAACTTTGTTAACAAAAAATAGGCAGGTGTGGCAACTGGATTTTGGCTGCATGTCCTAGTTAGCTGACTTCTGCTGTAGAACATCATTTATGTGCCCTTTTCTAAGATTTGCAAATTAAATCCAAAACAAATGATCTACTATTAAGTTTCAAATGTACATTTATTTACTTCTACAAAACAACTGTAAAAGCATAGGAATTTCATTCACAAATAATATCTGCAAATACTAAAGTATCTATCACTCCAAGACTTAACATGCTACAATATTACATTAAAAAGTTCAAGATTTTATAAGGAAATTTCTGATTGACAAATGTATTTCAAAAATATTTACGTTACTTCACTTTACATGATAAACATTTTTCCCTATCATGTTTATTTTCCCAGGAATAATTTCTCAGGTTAATCTGGAAGTTTTACTCTATGAAAAGTCAAATGTTTTTTATGAGTGATAATGTTATGGTCAGAAATATTTTTAACAGACAACTCACAATATGTATATACTTAGTATATAAAGAGAAAATCAAGAGTTGCCTACAGTTGAATAGTTTTAAGTTGTTATATTCTTTTAGAAAATGAACTCTTTAATGCAATTAATTAAACCTTTTAACCTCATTCAAACATGAAGCAAAAACTTGCCTTAGCAAATAAAAACTACACACTCAACTATATAAACACTACATATCCACCTACATTTTCCAGGTATGAAAAACTACATTTAAAGAGCAATAAATTATTACCTCCTCCTTACTTAACTGCAATGTTGTGAGTAATTCATTCCACTTCATGTTCACAATTAAGAAAGTAAAAACAAAGTTACTATCTAATTTTACATTCAATAAAGATTAGCAAAATGTTTGAGACTAGAATTTAAGCTTTCCATTTTTTAAAAAATCCCACTAATATAAAGAAAAAAGCTACAAAAAGATATGCTCAAGAAAAACATTAACTTCTACTGTAAATTAAAATGAGGTAACTTTCCCATGAAAAGGACATCAAGGGCAAAGTAGAGAGAACTACTTAAAACGAACTTTTAAAAAATTCACTAATGCCAGTCTTGGCCAATGAACTCCTGGGTGTCCGAAATGTGCTATAAACAAACACTTCACTAATGAAAAATATCTTAAGAAATAAAGTGAAAATTTAACATTTATTATAATTGAATTCATTTCTTTAATTACTTTCCAAATTGGCCTACTCTTTCCCCCCCCCCCCCAAATTGGCCTACTCTTAACAGTTGCTCTAAAACACACCATCTTCCCTTCAACACCACAACTGAGAGTTATATGAAAGATAGATTAAGACGCCATGAATCCTTACCGACTTCTCAGGGTCTTGTACACCAGAAGCTGCAACACTGAGGTCTAAATCTTTTTCCCTAAACAAAATTAAAGTTTCACACATTTAAAACAGCAAAAGAAATACTACCAAAACAATTACTTAACTAAACTCATACCCAAAGTCTAAGTGGTAGACAACCTCTGGAATGATAAGTATTTCCTTTAACTGACATAAAAGCCTTAAATAATTTTCTGACTTGTTGTTGTTATGTGCCGTCGAGTCGCTTGCAACTCATAGCGATCCTATGTACAACAGCCCTAAACTCCGCTCTGTCCTGCGCCAACCGCACTGTCTCCGACACTCCCATCCCAATTACCCCAGTCACTGAATCAATCCACCTCATAGAGGGCCCTCCTCTCCTGCGCTGTCCCTCCACCCTCCCAAGCATCATGTCCCTCTCTAAGGACCGGTCTCTCCTCACAACATGTCCAAAGTATGTGAGACGGAGCCTCAGAATCCTTGCCTCCAAGGAGCCACTCTTTTTTGACTTAGTGCAAAGTAAACCGGAATTCACACATGATTAAATGAGAATACGCATCTCTAAACTAGTGTCTCAGGAGCTCTGGTGGTATAGTGCATTATGTGCTGCGCTGCTAACCCCAAAAAGGTCAGTCACTGGAACCCACCAGCTGTTCTGTGGGAGAAAGATAGAGCAGTCTCCCCTCCTGAAGATTTAGCACCTCAAAACCCCAATGGAGTGTCGCTCTAAGAACTGACTGGACAGCAGTGGGGTTGGGCTTTAAACTACTATCTGAGGTAACTCTGGAGACTAAGTAATTGACATAGAACCAAGTACAGAAATAAAACAGAATATTTAGTTTATGAAGCAACAACAACAAAATAATCCTTCTTTTCAGGGTACATGTATTCTCAACTGACAAGAAAATGGGGGGATAAAAAAATATAAACACTATACTTTCTAATGAGAGTTTTAAAGACTATGTTAAATACACTTAATATCTGCAAGTAGATATTAAGATAAAAGACTAGCCAACAAAGGAGTTGCTCTAAGATAAAGAAAAAAATACAAAATTAAAAAATGATAGGTTAATATCCTCTAGAAACAAGATTTTTACTCCTAATTTTAAACTCTGGTAGCCTAGTCTGTAGGGAGGTGCCCTGCTAACCCAGAAAGTGCCACTGTGAACCCATGGGAAACTGACAAGCAAGCTCCTGTGTGATTTATAACCTCTGAAAACCGGCTAACGAGTCAGCTACGAGTTCAGCTCCGACTCAAGGACAATGAGTTGAGTAAGTTAACTTTAAGCTATGAATACTATTTTACAAAGACTTTTTATAAAAAGAGAGTGCGCTGCAAAAAGAAAAAGATTACACAGAAACTTGCATACAATATACATTTGAGAACTTTCACAGGGTCATTTTAATATATATGTACTTATCATTTCAGATTGTAAAAAGAGAAAATGGTAATCGCTGGTGCAACCACTATGGAAGGCAGTATGATGCTTTCTCAAAAAGTTGCAAATAGAAATACCATCTGACTTAGCAATTCCACTACTGGGAATATACTCTAAAGAAACCATAACTGCTCCCAAGCAGATATATGTACACCCATGTTTATCGCTGCTTTGCTCACAAAAGCAAAGGGTTGGAAACAAGCCAAGTACCCATCAACAAAGAAATGAAAAGAGAAGTTGTGGTATATTCACACAATGGAATACTATGCTGCATTGAAAAACAAGGAACTCATGAACAAAATGGGTGACCCTGGAGGACATTATGCTGAGTGAAATATCTCAGTCACAAAAGGAAAAATACTTCATAGTGCCACTGTTCAAAAGCAGGTCTGACATTGGGGTTGGGGGGAAGCCTAAATAAAAAAAGAGAGGATAAATAATGTATACTGCACTGACACAGATGAGGGAGAGAACTGTTTAAAAGGAATATAGGATTAGGTATTGTTTTCATGACAAGATTACAGAAAAAGAAATGCATGCTAAAGTGGACTGTGGACTTGCGAGGGGACTGTATCACAATGAAAGAATTTTTTTTTCTTTTCAAAGAGAAAAAAGAACTGGGGGGAGAGGTGGGCAGGGAGGAAAATATGCAACAATGAATGAATAGGGGGAAAATTAAATGGAAAGAATATGCTGTAAAAATATGTATGTTGCATTAAACACATACACACACACACACACACAAAATGTTTCAAATAAAATTTCTGTAATAGAAAAAAAAATGTTAATGGCATACTGTAGTGGGTATATCCAAACAAACAAAATCTAAATCCATTGGTACTGAATCAGTTCAGACTCCTAACTCTCCCTTAGGACGGAGCTTAGCTGCCCCAAAGGGTTTCTGCAACTGTAAATCTTTAAGGACAGACTGCATCATCTTTCTCCTGTGGGACAAGGTTCCAACCACCAAGCTTTCAGTTAGCAGCTGAAAGGTTAGTCTACACTTCTACCAGGGCCCAGCTGATTACATTAAATTCTACCTTCAATCAAAAATTAAGGAAAATAGCAAAACAATGCAAAAGGCTCTTTCCCAAATATACGTACAGCCTTATTTGTAATCATGACTAGGGAAATGAACACTAACATATTTGCTTTATAACTCTGGCTATTTTAAAATATAGGGATTGATATATATGATTTACAAATTCAAAATCATATTGGGGAGGCATAGTGGAGGTGTGGAGTTTATGATTCACTATGAGTTTCCTAGCCATAGCTCCATGTTTCTATGCAGATGGGGAGAATATGCAAATGGGGCATGTTAGCCTATCCACAAAAAGGACTGGCTGTCTCTCAGCCAATACACAAGGGGATTGACTGGTCTCACCAATACACAAGGGGATTGGCTAGTCTTGCTATTAAATTGAGCAATCCAGCAGCAGGAGAATGAGACCTTTCCCACACCAGTAAAAACACAGCAAGGGAATGTAGGACACTCTTTAAGAGAGACCTGATATTCTTGTTCCAGCTACACCTAGGACAGCAGCAGCAATGGCCAAATTAGAGACCTGATGTGAGAATATGAGATGGGACTTGGAGACTGCTATACCATTGGAACCAGAGCTCAGAGCCTTAGCCCAAGTTCATTAGGACAACTTAAGGGGTTGGGGAGCCATAATTCACAAGACTGAGAACTTTGTAACACTGGCTAAGACTGAGGTGGTGTGCTTGTGGGGGAAGGGGAGGGAGCCAATATTAGGAGAACTGAGAACTCGGTACTGGCCTAAAGCTGTGGCACTCAAGCCTGAGGTGCCTGCAAGCACATGTGGGAAACTCCTCACTGTAAAATGATACTAATCTGGTTTATAATCTTTTGACTTCCCAAACATTGTTCTGTGTGGTTTATGAGCAATTGTATCGGATTTTCAACCCAGCAAAGCAGTAAGATTGGCGTTGAGATGAGTAGAAAGAGGTATGGGAAAGGGGGAGATATGTCTGACATCATGGGAATTGATTTTGTGTTACTGATACTGTTGATGGGGACATTTCCTCTTTTTACAGGACGACAGCCCTCTTTTACTACATCATAGTCACCACCATGTCATTACTCAAATGCATTCTATAAGAGGTTATTTAAATTCAAAGCATTCTTCTGAAATGCAAACCTTTCATTACCGTCTCTTGTTCCTCTGTTGCTCTGCCATTTGTTGCAATAGTTCTTGTCTGTACTTCTCTTTCCTCTGCTGAATAAGTTCTCTATCTTCACCTCCTAGATAGTAAGAAAAAACACACACTTAACAGTGGAGCAATGAAACAGAAAAACCTTGAGTAAAAAAATTCCAGCTTTGATTACATAAAAGGCTAATTACTGACTATACAGAGGAAAAAAAAGAAAAATCATACACATAATTATCTCTTCAATCAACTTCCAAGCTTATGAACATCTACTGCCTATCAGGCATAAGTTGCATTAATCATTCTTTTCCATCATTAGTCAAAACTTTTCTTAATCACTGGGCCATTCTAAATATTCAAATTTCCATATTCATTTTCCTAATAATCAGATAGTATCTCCACTTTGGAAGCAGGAGTGGCATCCACTTCCTAAACAATATGCCTCCGGAAACCCTATGAACTTTGATAAATGTGGACAATTGCTATAGAAGGGCTTCAGGCCTTTTGTTCAAAGGGTTGCTAAGAGTCATGTTGGACTTGAAGGCAATCAACAACAACATCATCACATACTACAACATACTATACAAGCCCTTATATTTCACATCTGTCTAAAACAAGGATCCCAAAAATAACTACCCTTTTTTTGCCTTAAAAGCCCAAAGTTTCACTACCACAGTATTTCTTCACTTGAGGGAACTCTGGTGACCTTGTGGGTAAGAAGCTGTGCCACTAGCCCAAAGACAGGCAGTTCAAATCCAACAGCTACTTTGTGAAAGAAAGATGGACATGTAATTTTTAATTTGTAGCTTCTGTAGCTTCAGTCAACACTCTTGGTACCAGCAGCCAGGATATTAAAAGACGAATTGCATTGGGAAAATGTGCAGTCAGAGACCTCTCCAAAATACTGAAGAGCAATGATGTAAGTCTAGAGACTAAGGTGAGCTTGATTCAGGCCATGGTCTTTGTAATTACTTGCAATGCATCGGAAAGCTGGACAATGACTAGGGAGGATAGAAGGGGAATTGATGCCTTTGAGCTGTGGTGCTGGAGAAGAGTATTGCATATACCATGTACTGCCAACAGAACAAACAGGTTTGTCCTAGAGAGGGCTCGTCCCAGGTTGTTCCTTGGAGGCAAGGATTCTGAAGCTCTGTCTGACATACTTGGGACATATTACAAGGCAGGACCAGTCCTTGGAGAGGGACATCATGCTTGGGAGGGTAGAGTGACAGCACAAAAGAGGAAGACCCTCAATGAGATGGACTGATTCAGTAACTAGGGTAATGGGGTAAGTGTGTTGGAGACAGGTAAGATTGGCACAGGATAGAGAAGGGTTTAAGGGCTGTTGTACAGCAGGTCACTATGAGTTGAAGGTGACTAGATGGCACAGAACAAAAACAACAAGCCTCTGAAAACCCACTGGAAGGTCAGTTGGTTCTAATTTGATATGGCTATTTTTTTAGTCTTTATTTACTTCATAGTCTTATGGCCATTTACCTTGACAAATCCTATATATATTTCACCTAGGCTGCAAAAATCATCTCCTACCCAGTCTCTTTAACTCCTCCCTCTCCCTGTTCCAATACATCCAACACACTTAAGATTACCTCTTAATGTACTCTATTAATTACTGGACCTCTGATAGCATTGTCTACATTGTATTGTGCTGCTAACCAAAATATAATACTAAATTTAATAATTTTATACCTTGCTCATAAAACTTCAGTAGTTGCCTTAATACTATAGGAAAAAATATAAATCTCTTATTCTAATATCACTTTCATGAATATCCAGTTGAACAAAAATTTCTAATCCAGAGATTACTACTATTGTGTATGTTAATATCCCAAAATAACTTCATATCTTAATATGCATGATCTGGAATGCTGTATAAATCAAAGAATATAAAGAATTTAACAATACAACCAAATTCATTAATGCCTCATGACTGCATGTTTAATTTAGATTGCAGAAGTTGACAAAAATTCTCAACATCTTCATATTTGGCTTTAGTGTGTATATACTGGAGTATCAGCTGTATTAACAGGTCTTTCATGTATGTATATGGATAGCATCCTATCACAGCATTATACTTAAAAGACATATCTAGACATGGCCCTTTTTTTAAATTTAATCTTATTATTCTGTGTGTACCATCAAATCGGATCTGAGTGGTACAGGAGGAGATTGCTCCTCCTTTTCTAGCAAAGCACCTGGTGGATTCGAACCGTGTACCTCTGGAGTTGCAGTGCAGCTTCTTGCCACTAGACATGTCCTTTTTAATGAAGAATGTGACACTTTTCTTCTTCAATATGTCATTTCCAGCATAATGGACCATATAACTGTCTGATTCAAATTGGTCAATACCAGTCCATCTCAGCTCACTAATGCCTGAAAAGTCAATCTTTAAACACTTCATTTTTTTTTTAATTTTGTGTGTGTCTGTACCGTCAAATCAGATCTGACAGGTACAGGAGGAGATGGCCCCTCCTTCTCCAGCAGAGCATCTGGTGGATTCGAACCACTTTTCTCTGGGATTGCAGTGCAGCTTCTTGCCACTAGGCCACCAGAGCTCCCCTAAACACTTCATTTTTTATGACTTCCAATTTTCCTATATTCATACTTCATACATTTCATATTCAAGAGAGTTATTAAATGGATACTTGTAGCTGATTCTTCTCATTTTCAGTTTTGCCCCATCAGTAAATGTAGGTCTTTCATTGGGTGAAAGCTTTACTGGTTCCATGTCATTAAAGGAGACTCTACTTTGAGAAGGCAGCTCTTCCTCCATTGCACTGAGTACCTTCAAATTTGAGGCGTTCATCCCCAGTATGCAAAGAATTCTCTGCTGTTGCTCAGAGTTGTTCAAACGGAACAAGGGGGTAATGTAGAGTTTAAAATCAGGCAAGGTGTGTAGGGTTGTATGCTCTCACTGTACCTTTTCTATGTAAACACTGAGTAATTAATTTGAGAACCTGGACTACGTGAGGAAGAATCTGACATCAGAATGAGCAGAAGCTTCAACAAGCTTTTCTATGCAGATGACAGAAGCTTGTTTGCAGGAGTGAAGAGGATTTGAAGTACCTACTGTAGAAGATTAAAGACCACTGTCTTCAATATGGATTGTATCTCAACATCAAGAAAACAAAAATCTTCACAACTGGACCAATAGGCAATATCACGGTAAATGGAGAAAAGACTGAAGCTGTCAACGATAACATTTGTCATGGATACCAAGTATCAATGGTGACAGCATTCAAGAAATCATAAGACATGCTGTATCGGGGAAAATATGCTGTCAAGGACCGTTTTAAAGTACCCAAGACCAAGGAATGGATGTCAATCTGAAGATTAAGGATCACCTGAGCAAGTCACGGTATTTTCAATTGCTTCCTGTGCATCTGAATGTTGAATAAGGAAAACTAAAGAACCATCAAAGCCTTTGAATCATGGTGCTGGAATAAAATACTGAATATACTGCCAACAGTCAAAAGAATAAATCTGTCGTAGCAGATTAGCGGAAGTGCGAGCAAGGTGCTCTTTCAAGGTAAGGATGGTGAAACTTGTCTTCCTTACTTTGGCATGTTGTCAAGAAGGGTCAGTTCTAGGAAAAAGATTATCATGCTTGGAAAAGTAGAGGGTCAGCAAATGAGAGGAAGATCCTTGAGATGAAGGAATGACACAGTGACTGCAATAATGACCTTGAGCATGTTGGAGAGGGTGAGGGCGGCACAGGACAGGTAAGGCTCTGATCGGTTGCTCATATAGTGACTATGAGTTAGAGCTGACTTAACAGCACCTAACAACAACAGCACAATCAACTGAACATTCTGTACATACCAAAGATCATCCCTGCAAAAGGACTAGAGATATGGCGAGTACTGGCAGATCTGGATCTTTCATTGGGAACATTGTCTCGAGTGCTAAAATACAACAAAATGAAAAATATTATAATCCAACCATTTTTCTGTAAGTAAAATTCAGAGTAAAATGTAGAATTAATGGCCTTTCAGAGTACAATGGACACTATATATTACATATTTTTAAAGTTAAGGTAAAATCATGTCATTTTTAGCATGTCATTCAGTGGGATCCAAATGTATTCAGATTCTATATAAATAACATCTTTTTCTTCAGGCTGCCTCATCAGCTCTACAGCTTTTCAAATACAGTAATTTTTCATAAATTATTTTGATAAATAATTTCATAACAAAATAAATTTTCCTAGCAAAGGAAGGGAAATGAATAAGTAAATCCTAAGAAAAGAGGAGAGAAGGCCAGTTGCTATATACATATTTAGAAGACCCTATCACCAGAAGACTCTTTTCTTGAAAGCTAAGAGCTGGGGATGGGGGGAATCCTTCAAAGAAAACTCAATTGAGCCCCAAAAGAAAATTTTCTTACCTGAGATCTGCTTATTTATTACTTTTCCTCAAACAAAAGAGAAATATTCCCTGATATGTGGCAATACTATCTTTCTCAACTTTACATTACAGAATCTAAAGCACTAATATTTTTGTGTTAATAAGAAAATGGGAAAAAAATTACTAAAAAGTATAAATAAAAAGAACAGAAATATAAAATATTAATATCGCTTCTACGCAACATGATAGAAATTCCTCATAGGAGTATGAATTTTGTGCATAGGCAAAAAGTTATGGAAAGAAAAAATATTTTTAAAAGGAAAATTCACACTACAGAAACATTTTCAATTATTTCCAGTCAAAAGTATATTACTGTCATAACTCCAAGGTATCTAAAATTAATCTTTAGTCCATTAAAAATATACTTATTTCTCAAAAAAAAATTTAAAAAAGAAAATAAATAAATTAATTAAATAAAAAATATACTTATTTCTCTTTTCATTTGCTTACATTTATATACTTATAATGACAAGGGCTTATTCAGAAAATCCTACTATGCTTATGAACCAAAACTTGCTCCTTTAACAGATATTTAAAGTACTATAAATTGTCAGTTAACACACCTTTTGGGTTGTGCTTTATTTTCCCCTCCCTTCCTTTCTCACCAATAAGGAAAACTGTTGATATATTCTATTGCACTTTTTCAGTAAGACACTTTCAGGCAGTTTCCACAGTATAATGTCTGAGGGTAGAATTTTATCACAAACTATACCTGTTATTTCCAGCAGACAAGAATCGTACATTTGACAGTTCTGTGGAATCACCATCATTCTCCACAGGAGGCACATTCCCTCGTCTGTTTCCATATATCCTTAAAAACACATTAGCTTATAGAACATGCTACGTGTACTGAGGACCATCTTTTGTGTTTGTATATTTGATATTGGAAATATTAAAGGAAACCCAAAAAAGTATTACAATGAAGTCTTGCTGTAAAAAGATTTCAAATTTGAGTAGGATTTGATTAATATATAATCAAAGGATAAACATTAAAAATTTAGACTGTTGTCTTTAAAATAAAGAACTTGTTAAAATAACTTCACCACAACATTTAGAAATCTATAATTTCAAAGCTATATATGTACTAAAACATTCTTTTTAATTTATATAAAGCCTACTGACCGAGCACCTACTGTATACCAGCACTACTCTAGGCGCTGGGTGTTCAGTACTAATGCACAGAAAACATGATGCTGGCCTTCATCAATATTACAGCCAGATTTCCAATGAGATCATTTTGAAATAAAAATTCATGGATCTTGGAAATTATTGTTTGGCTTAAAAATGTAGCAGCAATCTTAACATTAAATTTAAGACATATATAGAAACCACAACATTTATAACTGTAAATCACATGAAAGAAAAGAAGTAGAAGCAAAAGATTCACGAAAACCATTATAAACAAACAGGCAGATGCAAGGGTTAAAAATAAAAGTATTAGTTCACTTTACTCAAGGAAAACAAAGGTTAGAATTGTTTTGGTTTTCTTCTTTAAAATTATTTCTGAAAATAATAATAAAAATAAAAACTGTGTTCTATTAACTAAAGTTGGTTAAGATTTGGGGCTTTTTTCCATTTGGCAAACACTGATTTCTTGAGCTTAATCTGTCATATAACAGAAATCAACACAACTTTTTATACCTACCAGTATCCATGTAAATCAACACTTCATAAATCTTAGTTATCTATGGAGCTGATTATAAACCTTGTTGTCTTTTCTGAGACAACAATGAGAAAGGAATATGATTGCTGAAGTATCAGTCAATATTTTAATTAATTTTACTGTCATAGTAAGGAAAAGAGTCATTTTAGAAGAGCATTTTATTAGGGTCCACGATCAGCAACTCAAACTGTTGACTTGTTTCCATCAGATAGAACACTGTTAAGATCCTCTGTTGAGAAAAAAAGGTTCTCTGAAATTTTAGCCTTAATTTATGACTTGGCTTAAACGGCTTCTTTCTTTCATCTCCATCCATACACCCAAACTCCCCATGAGCCAATAAAAAAAAGAATTAATATTGTATTTCCATTTCTCAAAATGCAGCTGGTTTTACAACTGAATGTGTAGTATTCAAATCTCTCATTCGTATTAATCAATGTAATTTTCTATTTCTATCCCTTAAAGATGTGATCAATATAAACTCAAATGCAAATCTGCCATTTACAAAGCCTTGCAGATTTTGTGATGTAAGAAATCTATAAATTCACCACAAGATAAACAATCTGATTGAAAAAATGGGCACAGGATATGAACAGACACTTCACCAAAGAAGACATTCAGATGGCCAACAAGCACATGCAGAAATGTTCAAAATCCCTAGCTCTAAGAGAGGTGCAAATTAAAACAACTATGAGGTATCATCTCACCACTGTAGGAATAGCAAAATTTAACAGAACAGCAAACAACAAATGCTGGTGAGGTTGTGGAGAAACTGGAACCCTTATTCACTGTTGGTGGAAGTGTAAAATGGTACAACCACTGTGGAAGGTGGTGTGGTGCTTTCTCAAAAAGTTGCAAATAGAGATACCATTTGACCCAGGAATTCCACTCCTGGGAATATACTTCAAAGAGACCATAACCACCACCCAAGGAGATAAATATATGCACACCTATGTTTATCGCGGCTTTGTTCACAATAGCAAGGAGTTGGAAAAAAAACTAAGTGCCCATCAACAAATGAGAAGCTGTGGTATATTCCACACAATGGAATATTATGGGCATTGAAAAACAAGGAACTCATGCAATATTATTCAAAATGGGTGACCCTGGAGGGCATTATGCTGAGTGGAATATCTCAGTCACAAAAGGACAAATACTACCTAATGCCACTATTGTAAAACAGGACTGACATCGGGATTGGGGGGAGACTGAGAAAGATGGGATAAATTATGTATGCTTTATTGAAACAGATGAGGGAGAAAACTGTCTAAAAGGGATACATAATTAAGTATTATTGTCATGACAGAAGTCCAGAAAGAAGGCTGCATAGTGGAGTGGGCCAGGGGGGATGGATTGTAAAACAATGAAAGAACTTTTACTTTTCAAAGAGAAGAGTGTACTGGAGAAGGAGGGGGGAGGGCAGGGAGAAAAGTGCAATAGTGAATAAATGGAAATAAAAAGTTTCTGTAAATTTTCATTACAATTAATAAAAATTTTTTTTTAAAAAAGAAAAAATTCCAAAAAAGTCTATAAATTAAAATGTTATAGTAAGTTGTATTATGTTATACTATTTATGTACGATAGGGTCAAACCAACTCTTATCTGACCCTCCAGAGGATTTTCTGAGGCTAATAATCGCATGAGAAGAGACTGCCCATTTTACTCCTGCAGAGCAGTTGGGGATTTAAACCACGTGCCTTGGGAATAAAAACATACATGTGCAGGGAAAAGTTAATAACTGTCTGAGACTGCCTATCTTCAGAAAACTGCAGCTTTCTTGGTTGGTTAGCCCTTGAGAACTTAAATCTGGGAAAGGAAGCCCCTATCACTGCTACAACTGGCAAGGGTGGCTCCCTCTAACTCAACTAATGGTGGAAGCACTGTGGTTCTGGCTGGACCCCTGCTTCCTTTTCAAGAAGCAAACATTCTGCTATATTTTTAGCAGGTAACAAGTAACTTATCCACTCACTGCTGTAAAGAGTTGGTTCCCACAAGAATGAAACACAATGTATAGGAATGATTATGTAAATACACGAAGTATATGTTCAAAACATGATATATATGAAAGATTATATGGAAACCAATAAAAAATTTTACAAAAAAAAAAAGAGTTGGTTCTCAGGCACAGTGATCTTCCATCTAGTTTCTGAGGATGTGAAACAAAATGGAAGAGACTGTCCTTCACTTGTGCAGCCCTTGAGTTAAAATCACCACTCATTATGGACTAGCCACCAGAGCTTCTCTGAGGAATGTGAATCAGCCTCCAATAAAAACCCTAAGAATCAAGTCTCTAAGGAAAACACCGTACAGGACATTTCATCAGGTTGTCACAGTTCTAGAGGAATTAAACACATCCTGTGCAATTCCAACGGGAAAGGGCCTTAGAAGTTAGCGCTTGGTTCCCTTTCTACTTTGCCTCAAGTGCAACTTTCTTTTGCAGCAATAAAAAATAACAGTGAATATAATTACATGCTATCTCTGGTGGTGTAGTGTATAGACAGGAGCACAGCTAACCCAAAGGTGGCACCTCTCTGGTGGTTCGAATCCACCAGAATGCATAACCTCCTCTCATGCTCAGAAACCCATCGGAAGGTCACCTTTGAGTTGGTTCTGATTGAGTGGCAGTGAGTGAGTGTGAGTCCTTTACACTAAATCATCAAAGGAGCAGTGGTCTGGGGAACTCAAGACACCTCCGACAAACTAAACTCTTGATGTGGCTAAACATCAACAACTTAAATCAAAGTTTTAAAAATACAGATAAATCTAAAGTCACACCAGAACTAAAGATTTCAACTCAAGTCACTGCCTGCCATCAAGTCAGGAACGACTCATAGCTGAGTCGACAGTGAGTTTTCACAAGCTGTAAATCTCATGGGAGGAGAATGTCTATATAAAATATACTCTAAAACTTACACAATAATTTGCTGTTTCCTGTATTTTCAGCTGAGTATGTGAAGTTGTCATTCTAATCCACAATTCTTATACAGAAATACCCAAAATAGCTAATATTTTTATATATTTTAGGTGTGCTAAAAAATCTTTTATAGGCTCTTCATTATATATAAAACTCTGTATAATGCAAGAACTATAAAATGACAAAGTTCATTTTTCAAAGTTCATTCAAACTTAAATAGGTTTTAAAAATTATTTTCTTTAGCTACAAGGTCAAATCTTTGCTGAAGTCTATAGTAAAAACATACGTTAAAAGGCCATATGAAAAGTGGTTGAACTCTTTCTTCACTTAAGAAATAAAAAAAATCATTAATGAAATTATAAAAGTCCTTTCTGTCACTGATAATCTCAACAAAATGAAAACTAAGAACTTTCATATTAAACTTTACTAAATGATTGATAGACAAGATTGGTATGTTAAATCAAGGAAAAATTCCTATTTAAGTACAGAGATTCTACTAATAGAAGACAAAAACCTAGAAATGAAGCTACAAAGTTGTCAAGTCAAATAATACAAAGTTAGATACACTTTTTTTCTTTTTTAAAAAAAAATCTCTGTAACTATGACAAGACTTCATTTACCAAATTTCTTTAATATTTTTGGTAAGTTTATCATTTAATCACTTTCAGAGGTAACTGATTATAAAAATATCTCAGTTCCAAAACAACTCATCTCATCTCACCCCAATAACAATCGTAAAATTTAACAAAACAGCAAACAACAAATGCTGGCGAGGTTACGGAGAAACTGGAAGTTGATGCAAACACTCTGGAAGGCAGTATGGCACTTTCTCAAAAAGTTGAAAATAGAAATACCATTTGACCCAGCAATTCCACTACTAGGAATATATCCTAAAGAAACTAGAACTGCCACCCAAGCAGATATATGCACACCCATGTTTATGGATGCTTTGTTCACAATAGCAAAGAGTTGAAAATAACCCAAGTGCCCATCAACAAACAAATGAATAGAGAAGCTCTGGTATATTCACACAACGGAATGCTATGCTGCATTAAAAAACAATGAACTCATTAAATATTACACAAAAAGGGTGACTCTGGAGGACATTATGATGAGTGAAATATCTCAGTCACAAAAGGACAAATACTGCATGGTGCCACTGTTGTAAAATGGGACTGACAAAACAAAGAGAGGCTAAATAATGTATACTGTATTGAAACAGATGAGGAAGAAAACTATTTAGAAGGAATATATGATTAGGTATTATTGTCATGACAAGAGTCCAGAATGAAAGCTGCACAGTGGAGTGGACTGGGGGGCGGGGGATTGTATAAAGAATGAAAGAATATTTACTTTTCAAAGAGAGACGTGAACTGGGGGGGGGGGTTGGTTGGGGGGAACTTTTGCACCATTGATTTTTTTTAACTTTTCTTTTTATTAAAAAAAATCTCAGTTCACTTTATTGAAAATAAAATTCACTTTAGCAGGGGTGTTCTTGAAATTTATTTTAGGAATCTTTACTGAGACAAATGAAGCCCTCTCTGAAAGGCACTCAGAGGCCCTAGGGGAGATTCCCCCACACTGTCTCGTTCTCTCTTGAATCCTCTCAGCACTTAATGGCCAACAGATGAGAACATACAGTACTGGTAAGCTCGCTAAGTATCCATGGGCAACCTAATGCTAATCAAAGTACAAGGAGTTCAATTTATAGCCAGTCTGTCCTGGGAGGTATTGTTCTTATGGCCCAGAAATAATTTATTTAAATATTCTGACTATAAATTAGTAAGGTTCATCTAATATCACAATTCACTAGGTTTTATCAGAAAGAAACAGATCTCATTCAGACACGACAGAATTTTCTTTCTTGGGCCAAAGCATATCAGTTATAACTGAGGGAAAAACACAACTGCAAAATGAAGTTGTCAACTTACTATGAGTTTTGTTATTTTTTTAAATTATTTTAAAAGGGTTATGTTAATGGAAAAGCCTTATTTTTTCTCCTTTATTTCACTGATGATATGGGCCAACACCTCTAGTCAAATGGTCAAAATTCTCAATGTCTAAAGAAATAAGGTTAAACAAATAAAATGATATAGTGGGAAAGGGAAGAAAATGAAAGAAATAAGGTATAGACTAGAGGCTAAGTTTAGTCTATTCTGTTAACATAGTAACAACATGTTTGTTATTAAGTGTTGTCAAGTCGTCTCTGATAGCACATATAAAAATACTTTTTTTTTCTTCAGTTTGCCTCTATTGCTTTATTTGGTGTTTTATACAAGTGACTAAAATAAATAGAGTAACAAAGGCAGCTACATGGCCCCCAAATAGCAAATACCCCAGCTTCCTTGATCTGCTGTCTGGGATGAGCAGCCCCTTTCTCCTCCCAGCGTACCATGAACACCGCCACCCTGCCCAGAGCAGAGCTGGCTGAGGAACAGAAGCAGGAGGTCACATTTCAGGGTTAGAGGAGGGGCCCAGGAGATGGGGATTCTTCATATAAAAGAGTAAATGTCTACATAAAAATATCCCAGAAGGTATAGGAAACTATTTTTTTAATCCTCAAAAAAAGTCTATAAAAAATAATAAAGCTTAAAATAACTAATGGTCCCTTATGCACCCCAAATAAAAATAAAAAGCAGATTTTTTAAAATAATAGGTATTTCAGCTAATTCAAATATGAGGCATTAACTCCTAAATAATAGTAACTTTTTGTTTTCCTTAAGAAACCAGAAAAGCAAGTTACTTCAGAAATAAATTTACAGTGTTTTTGCTATCAGTAACAACACATCAAAAAAATAACATTTGTTATTCCATGTTTTGTTATTCACTGCCATCTAGTTTGTTGTTGGTTTCCACTCACAGCCACCCTCCATATGGTTTAAAGGAGGGGATGCCTGTTTGTTTTTTTCTCTAGAGAAGCTGTGGGTACATTCAAACTGCTGAAAGTATAGGTGGCAACCCAGTATGTAACTATTACAGGACTAGAGCTTCTGCTCAGATTCAGTGCCAGCAAGTAAGAATCAGCTCAGAGCTGACCCTCCAGTGGCTTTTCAGAGGCTAAGAATCACAGGAGAGGAGACTGACTGCCCATCTTTGTCCTGCAGAACCGTTGATGGATCTGAACCATCAGAGAGGCACTCTCCCTGGATTGACATTGCAACTCCCTACACACTATACCACCAAAGCTGCCCAGCCTTAACTAACACAATTCACAGAAAGGAAGAATCCAATTTCTCCGTAGTTAAAAGAAACAATCTAATTCCTAACAAGTAGTTTATGAACCTTGTTTACATATTATGGAAGTTTTCAATTATAAACAAATTGTGCTAATAAGGGTATCCCACTACAGATGTTAAGAACACAGAAATTTAACTATAGGTAGTAATTTTCTCTTATTGTTTTCACATCTTTCCCAATTTTATTTGCTATGATTCAATGACCTGTATCTGTAATATAATTTTTAAAAGGAGAAATAGTCAATATTTAAATGGATCTTCCAAAGATAAATGGAAACTGACTAACTGCTAGAAGAAGAAAAAGTAATAACAAACTGAATAACTCATTTTCTAATAATCCATTTCTCTCCATTTACATTTTATAGATTAAGCATGCACAGGTTTAGAAGAGTATCTTATGCTAAGTAAGCATTCTATGTGGTTAACACAGATGCTAATTTCGGACAGAGTATTATTAAGAATTCATGAAATGACAAAATTAGAAACCAGTAAATATCTAAAATTAAATAGATATGCTAACTACATTAATCACAAAGAAACTACAGAAGCCACATTTACGGGGCAAAAAAATTCTTTAACTGATTAACATTAGTTAAAGTAAAACAGTTAACATATTAACTTCTACAACACAAGTTAATAAATAATAAATACCAAGGCAATTGTGTTTTTAAAAAGTTGATAAACTTCAAAGATACAGTAAATACATCCAACTTTAGAAAGCCTCTAAAATATCTTATTTAAAATGGTAAAAAAAAATGATGATATACATACATACACAGCATACACAGAGTACAACTGCTAAGCACCTTTTTAACATTAAGAAACATTTCTATTGATTTCAAGATAATGAGATTAAGAAAATAACGCTGCTCATCATTCTCAGATTTCAGTTTTCCCATGATTAGTAGGGAAAATGTTAATTATTATAGTACATGAAAATGTTTCCATGGCTCTTAGAAACTGAGAATCAAAGATATAAAAATAAAGAATTATTATAAGCTCCAACTAGAATTTACCAAACATTGATTTTTAAGGGGGAAAATAATGGAGAGAAAAAAGCTTCAAAACCTAAAGGAATGAAGGAAATGTAATCAATTATAGTTATTTTTTAGCAAGAACGTCTTGTTAGGACTTCAGGCTATTAAGAATAAGAATTACCTAGCTTTAAGTCTCAAAAATTTGACCAACAAGTTTTCATCCCCCAATACACATTACTTATTAAACATAAATTCTCACAGGGTCTATATGAGATCTTCTGTTTCTTTGTTAAAAGTAAAGAACTTCGTTTCAAATCCACCAGATGCTCTGCCGGGAAAGGAGGGACAATCTCCTCCTGTACCAGTCAGATCTGATTTGACGGTAGACTCACACAAAAATAAAAAATTAAAAAATAAAAAATAAAGAACTTACAAGCGTGAAATCTAGAAATTAAATTTTAACCTTAACTGCCACAGAAACAAATGCAAAAATATGTAAGAATGTATGAATTAACAAAGTGGAAGTAACACATAATAATGACTTAACATTTTGAAGAAATACTTTCAATACTTGAAAAGTCTAATAAGAATTATTTTCACTCATCCTCATGTTTACAAGTTCGTCTTGGAAAGGGGGAAACCACACTGCTCCTTTGAGGTAAGGATGCTGAAGCTCCATCTGACATACTTCGGGCATTTTGCAAGAAGGGACCAGTCCTTGGACAGGAACGTCATGCTTGGGAGGGTGAAAGGATAGTTCAACAGAGGAAGACCCTCGAAGAGATGGACTGACTCCGTGACTGGGGTAACGGGGGTAGGTGTGTTAGAGACAATAAGGTTGGCTCAGGATAGAGCAGAGTTCAGAGCTGTTGTACACAGGGTTGCTATGAGTCGCAAGCGACTCAACGGCATATAACAACTTGGAGAAGTTTAGACAGCAAGACCTATCATTTCACTTAATAGAGGATAAATAAGAAAACTAGTTAGTTTGCAAATAAGAATGAAATTAATTTGCTCATATATAAAATCATCACAAGCTATAAGTATAAAAAGGTTTTAAAAGATATATAGAGAGAGTTGTGAAACCGTCTTTTCTGTACTATCTTTACAAGGTGGTAATAGGTCTTCTATGGGTACGTACTAAGAGTTTATTTATTCTGATCTCTTCTTACCTCAAGGATCTTTTGAAGTATACACTGCAACATGAATTAGACTATCAACCTGAATCAATACTAGCTTTATTTAAATTCTCAGTGATGTCTTACTGTTTTGGGATTTTTGTATTGCCTTAATTCAGTGCAAAGGTTGAGACGTGAACATCTCTTTAATGTTCCTTTCTATAGGAAGTTTGTTTCTCATTTACATAAAGTGTAGCCTTTCAGTACCTTTCAGAGTACCATCTTAGGTGTGCTCCCTCACCCACTCCTCAGTGACATGTATAATCGCACATCTTAAAGTTGACTACAACTCAGAAGTAATCAAACATGGTAAATCAACTGGAACTGCCTATCTCCAATATAATTACAAAAAGTAACAGCAGCAACATTAAACAAAGAAAGAAAATGAAAATGAAGAAAATACCTGTCATTTGCATATACTCTCAAAGGTCTTCTATCAAAATCACTCTCATATCTAAACTTCTCGTCCATTTCTTCACTTACTTCAGGATCATGCTCTGGTCTATAATATTGTCTATCAAAAATATTTTCTTCATTAAACCTGCGAAATCTTCTATCTGGAAAGTCAACCTTGTTGACAAACCGCGGATGTTTTTTATTGAAAACGCCCACGTCTTCATTAGTTTTTTTAATAAGTCTCCTATTTTTTAATTCAATTTCCTCATCAAGTTGTCGATAGGCGTCCTCCTCGAGTCGTCTTTGGTTTAGAAGCTCTTCATATGCCTCTGAAGGACTTAAGATATCTCTCCTAGGACCTTCTGGATTTTTGTGAGATGCTGATATTTGTGAAGATAAATCAGGCTTAACTTCATAGGTAGATTTTTTATTTCTTTCACCCTTAGGCTGTTTAGTTGAAAAAGAAAAAGAGGAAAACAAAATGTAATACCACTTTAAAAAAATAAAAAGATAATGATACCCTCAAACTTGATCATGCTTATGTAAAACCTATACTTGGACCAGGAGGCAGTCGTCAGAACTGAGCAGGGAAACACTGCATGAGTTCAAAATTGGGTGTATGCCAGGGATGTGTTCTATCTCCATATCTTTTCAATCTATATGCAGAATAGATTATCTGGGAGGCTGGGCTCTATGAGAAGAAATGTGGCCTCAGAATTGGAGAAAGACTTATCAACAATCTGTGCTATGCAGCTGGCACAACCCTGTTTCCTAAAACTGAGGAGGACATGAAGCACTTGCTGCAGAAGGTCAAGGATTGCAGCCTTCAATATGGATTGAGGCTCAATATCAAGAAATCAAAGATTCTCACCACTGAGCCAATTGGCAGTATCATTACAGATGGTGAAGAGATTCAGATTGTAAACAGCTTTAGTTTGCTTGGTTCCACAATCACCACTCTTGGCACCAGCAGCCAATTAAAAGATGTATTGCATTGGGAAAGTCTGCTGTCAGAGACCTCTCCAAAGTACTGAAGAGCAATGATGTCAGTCTGGAGACAAAGGTGCACCTGATACAGGTCATGATCTTTGCAATCACTTGCTGACATCAGAAAGGTAGACAATGACTAGGGATGACAGAAGGAGAATTGATGCCTTTGCTGTGGAGTTGGAGATGAGTATTGATTATATATGATATACCATAGACTGCTAAGAGAATAAATAGGTTCATCCTGGAGAGGGTTACACCAGGCTGCTCCTTGGAGGGAAGGATTCTGAGGCTTCGTCTCACATACTTTGGACATGTTGCAAGGAAGGACCAGCCCTTGGAGAGGGACATCATGCTTGAGAGGGGAGAGGGACAGCACAGGAGAGGAAGACCCTGGATGAAATAGATTGATTCAGTGACTGCAATAATAAGGTTGGTACATGATAGAGCAGGGTTTAGGGCTGTTGTACAGAGGGTCACTATGAGTCACAGACAACTCAATGGCACATAACTACAACAATCCTAAAATGATGCTTAGTTTATTTATCATCCCCACTCAGGTACTTAATTATCCATTTTAAAAAAATTATCATCAGAAAAAAACTTCAGTGAAAAGTTCACTCTTCAATAAAACAACAAACATCAAACAGGCAAAGTGTAGTAATACCAAGTAGTTATAAAAAGATGTATAGTGGACTGGACTTGGGGGAAGGGACTGTATAACAATGAAAGAATTTTAATTTTTCTTTTACTTTTCAAAGAGAAGAACAAACTGGTGAAGGAGGGGTGGGCAGGGAGAAAAGTGTAACAATGAATGAATGAAAATCCAAAGTCTCTCTAAATTTTAATTAAAATTAATAATAAAAATATATAAAGAAAAAAAAGATAAACTACATGCAAATACCTATCCCAGGAAATATTAGGTGTACTGTGGTAGCTGAATATTACACTTTGTGGTGTTTAGATTTTATTGTTCAAAATGGCTTCCCTAGCCATTTTCTGACTTTGACATGTGTATGGGTATGTGTGTGTGTGTGTGTGTGTGTGTGTGTGTGTGTGTATTAGTCTATTCACAAAGGAATTTGCTAGTCTTGCCATGAAATTGAACAGATCCAGCAGAATGAGAGAATCTTCCCCACCAGCAAAGTAGTAGCCACAGGAAACCAGACATTCAGTAACAGATGGAACAGTCTATGCCACAGAACAAGAGTCAAGAGCCTTTGTCCAAGTTTGCTGGAGGACGAAGGGGAAGGTGGGGAGAGCCATAATTGGCAGGAGGGAGAGCTTTGTAACAATGGGCTAAAGCTGCAAGACTCAAGGCTGAAGTGCCTGCGAGCACATTTTGGAAGCTGCCCTAATTGTATTCTGTAACTAACCTGAATTACAGCCTTTTGATTTCCCCAATACGATTCTCTGTGGTCTATGAGCTATCGCATCAGATTCTGGATCCAGTAAAGCAGTAAGAAGAGTGTTGGGATGAATGGAAAGGGGTGCAGGAGCATGGGGAACATGTCTGACCTCATGGGAATTGGTTTTGTGTTACTGATGCTGTTGAGGGGGACAACTGCCCTTTGTGAAGTTGGTAAAGGTCAGATATGGTTATCCCCATGCGGTCCTTGCTCTTTTTACAAACTTAAAAATTATTTCCAATTGAAGTCTTTTATCAACAAAAAAGATACAAAATATAGTAATTTTTTTTTGTCCAAGTGATATTATCAACCAAAAAAACACAAACCCACTGTCCCTAAGGCCATTCCAACACATGAGGACCCACCACCAGGTTTCTGAGACCTCCTCCTATTTCTCCCCAAGAATAGCTGCTGGATTCAAACCAGCACAACATTTAACACACAAGGCCCCCATAGTTCCTGCCTAAGAAAAACATATCCCCATAAAGTTACATTTTAAAAGTAATTTCTTAAATATTAGAAAAACTATTTCCAAAATTATTTAAATGTCTTGTGCTTCAATGAATTTAGCTTAACTTCCTTGTATTTATATAAAACTCAAAAATACATAAAAAAGTTTTTAAAGTCAGTACAAGACAGTAAATGCATAGTGTAAAAACTTTCACATTTAAAAACAAACCTACCTCAGTTCTCTCTTCTACCTGTCTGAACTTTTCACTGGATTCTTCTTTACCCCTGAGAAATTGATTGTATTCTTTGTTACGTTCAAGTTTCAATCTTTCCTTGAAAAAGAAAATAAAAGGCAATGTAACCTTTAACTGAAGGAAAAAGAATCTTGCCGTCAAATTAGAACTGCAAATTAGACTCACATCTTACCCAGTATATCATGCTTTACTACAAACAAAAGGAGTCATTCATTACAAAGTATGGGAAAGCAAGAAGAGGTTTGAGACTACCAATGCAGACACAGGTCCTTTCTTGCCATAGCAAAAGACATTACTACTCACTCTGGTCATTATTAACTCCTCCTCTAGGAGGAGGGGGTTAATTCAGTTGAGAAGCATCTCCACAGCTCAGATGACATTTTCCAAGAAGCTATACCTCATAAATCCATGGATTCTGAATTTAGACTGTCTACGAGAGACTGGGCTCTATGAGGTGAAGTGTGGTATCAGGACTAATCTGCGTTATGCAGATGACACAACCCTGCTTGCTGAAACTGAGGAGGACCTCATGCACTTGCTGCGAAGGGTCAAGGACTGCAGCCTTCAGTATGGACTGAGGCTCAATGTCAAGAAGACAAAGATTCTCACCACTGGACCAATTGGCAGCATCAGGACGGATGGCAAAGAGACTGAGATTGTTCACAGCTTCAGTTTGCTCGGTTCCATGGTCAACAGTCTTGGCACCAGCAGCCAGGAAATCAAAAACCGTATTGCAATGGGAAAGTCTGCTGTTAGGGACCTCTCTAAAGTACTCAAGAGCAACGGCGTCTCTCTGGAGACTAAGGTGTGCCTGATACAGGCCATGGTCTTTGCAATCACTTGTTATGCATCAGAGAGTTGGACAATGACTAGGGAGGATAGAAGGAGAATTGAAAGGTGCACCTGATACAGGCCATGGTCTTTGCAATCACTTGTTATGCATCAGAGAGTTGGACAATGACTAGGGAGGATAGAAGGAGAATTGATGTCTTTGAGCTGTGGTGCTGGAAAAGAGTATTGAATGTACCATGGACTGCCAAGAAAACAAACAGATTCATTCTGGAGAGGGCTAAACCAGGCTACTCCTTGGAGGCAAGGATTCTGGGGCTTCGTCTGACATACTTTGGACATGTGGTAAGGAGAGACAGGTCTTTGGAGAGGGACATCATGCTTGGTAGGGTAGAGGGACACCGCAGAAGGGGAAGACCCTCTATGAGGTGGATTGATTCAGTGACTGGGGTAATCGGGATGGGTGTGTCAGAGGCCATGCGATTGGCACAGGATAGAGCAGGGTTTAGGGCTGTTGTACATAGGGTCGCTATGAGTCGCAAACGACTCGACAGCACATAACAACAACAAACAACAATTGTTAATAATCCTAGACAAACCAGGTCTGTCCTGCACACAATATTCCACAGAGACGTATCCCTCAGTGGTCTAAGCCTGTAGTTAACGCTGCTAACTTAAAGGCAGCCCCTCTCTGATGGTTCTATTCTACCAGCCCCTCCAAGGGAGAAAGATGGTTCACCTCCTCCTGTGCAATTTACTGTCTCCAAAAACTTGCTGGAAAATAATTTCTGACTCACTGGCAATGAGTGAGTGAGATTAGTAAATGGAGCTAATACATTTGCCAAGAGGCCTCTCATGAGATGATTACAAGGAGATTTAACCCTATGACTCTACTTCTTCTCAGGAGCATACGTTAAATAGAATAAATTATAGGCCTGTTGTTAACCACTACAATGTCAATGTTAAATAAAGCTCATAATATTCTTTTAAAAACTGATTAACTGTCCATTTTGCCTCATATAGCATTTCATGATCTCTGACCTATCTTGCAGCTAGGTCTCTGTGAGAGGTATATGGTAGAGTGCCAGAAACACACAGTGTGGGGCCTTCACGTCCATAAAAGTCCAGTGTGCTCTCACATCAACTCACCTCAGTTAGAACTGTGGCACAGTATAAACTTTCTAGCTCAGAAACCAAAGTGAGGAAAAAAAATTAATTCTGACTATCTAATTAAGTAGAGCAGAACATAGCAAAAGAATCAACATATTAAAGAATTATGCTTAACATATGAAATGGCTACAAATGTTCAATTTCTCAAAAAGCAAAAGTAGAGACTCTAGAATTTTTAAAAATAAATATATTCAAAGTATGAGGGAATGATGTTTTCTGTTTATATTTTAATCAGTAAAGTATTTTTATTATTTTGATGTTTAAAAAAATCTGTTACCCATAAAAACCACTCCTATCCACCTACCTTGGCAGATAACCTTTCACCAATAGGAAGAGAAACTCCCAGAGTAGATGGATCTGTTTCACCCGTAGACAGAAAATTTTTCTGTATATATACATATTAAAAAAAAAGAAATTACCTAATTATCTTCATAAAATATATTTCATAAGTGTATCTTTGCATATTTACAGTATTAGCTTATTATACAGAGCAAAAGAATGGGATGGAGATGAAGAGAGAAACTACTAATCTATGCAGATCAAATCAAAAGTGATTGGGGAAAAAAGCAGGGCTTTGAACCATTTCTTCCCAAGGGAGTCATGGCCTATGAAACAAAGTCCAAATTTGTAATACAAATGAGCTAGAATGGTAACTAGAATGGAAAAAAACTAGAGATCAACAACCTGCTAAAAATTTCACCTCACTCTTATGGAACAAAGGCAGCATGGGGCCTTATAAAGCAACCAAATCTCTTGACCAAAAGAGCTGGAAACAACAGTGACCCTCTCCAAGATGGCAGCCTCCTACATTGCTCTGAATCTGTGTCATTCTCCAAAGTTGTGGCAACAATCCAGTATACCACATTAGGCTCCTAAAAGAGCTCCTTTTGCCTCTCTGAATCTCATTCCAGGGCTTTGATCTGCAATCTTTCAGCTTCTGGTTATGACTCTAAATTTTAATAATCCAGACTGTTGTCATTTTGCTTTACTGGCCATTCCTGACAGGTCTGATTAAATTTGAAGTTCTAGAAAAATTTTCTTCCAATCAACAACTCCATGAAGGGGAGAGCCAGGCCTTAATTTGCATTGGATATATATATTAGATATATACACACACACACACTGATTCAAGATGATCAAACATTTTGGGGGAAAAGCTGTCTCCTATTCCTCTTCTAAGTATATATTCTACTTCATTTTTAGTGCCTATACACTGTTTTTTACTTTTAAAACTTCCTCACTAGCATTCACAGGCGGTGGTTGTTGTTGTGTGCTGTCAAGTGGGAGCTGACCCCTAGCTGACCCTCAAGAGGATTTTACCAGAGACAGTAAATCACACAAGAGGAGACTGCTCATTCTTCTCCCATGGAGCAGCATGTGGATTCGAGCTGTGTGCCTTTGGGATTGCAACATAACTTCTTACCACTTGGCCACGAGAGCTCCCTATAGGTATGCTGTCATATTCTTTTTCAATTTTTTCTTTAATCACCTGAGCAGATATCTACTCAAAGGTCAATAGGTAGAAAGCATCAATAGTGTTTCTTTATATAACTCCAATTTTGTTCATTAGACATTTAGGTAATGCAGGAGTCAAAGGACAGAGACTCTCCTCTCAGTTCCAGTAGTTACCAGTTTTGTAAGTCACTTAACCTCTCTGACACAAACTTTCTTCTTCCACTTTCCTCCCAAAGCTGAGATCATAATCACACAAGAGGATAAAAATGTAAAATCTCCTCAGCAACATATAGCAAATAAAAACAAGTAGTCAAAACAAAACAAAAATATATATATACACACACATACACACATACTCTTCCACTTGCTTCTAATTTATTAGTCATATAACTTGGCAAAAACTATTTTAGCCCTCTGCTTTGAGTTTATCTGTAAAACAGGCACAATGCCATTTATAGTACTACATAATTAGGATTAAAGCAGTCACTGTTAAGCTATTTAGAACCTTTTATTTATTTGTTCAATAAGCAAGCAGTTGTTAATTAGCTGCCAACTTGGTCTTCCCACTCATAGAAACCTCACACCAAAAAGCCAGATTATGATGATCCACCTTTTCGCTGGCTTATTTTTGGTGAGCTTTCCTTCTTAGTCTGTCTTAGTCCAGAGAGTCTGCTAAAACCTTTTCAGTAGCACAGCAACACACACGCTCCCACTAGTTGATGAGTGGCAGCTGCACCTGAAGTATACTGGCTGGGAAATCAAACTCTAGAACTGTATCACTGAACTATCACTGTCCCCAAAAGTAATCACTAACCATTTAATACTTTTGAGACACTATGGTTTTTTAGATGTGTCCTCTATATTCAAGAAATTTAAAACTTATATGAGGAAATAGACATGTAAATAACTACACATATTAATTGCTACAATAGATCTATCAACAATAATATGAAAATATAGTCATTTCAATGGTGATTCTATGAAGCTCTAAATTCACTTGTCAATGGAAAAAAATAGATGACAATATTCGTAGCCTATCCCATACTGAAGTATCCTATAATTTTTTGTAGCATTATACATGTATGAACAGTTTCAGCTCCATTATAGTGTAACAGCTTCATTCCTTCATGTAACTACTTCATTTCAAAAGTGGGCAATTCCTCCAATACAGAGCCAAGATGATGTTGGGAATAAAAAAAAAAATAATAATAAAGGCAACACAGTAAGTTTTTTTAGAATCCTAGTTTAAACCATTGCTCTTTGATAAAAAATATTTTTGGGTATCTGTCATGTACCTCAACTGTTCAATATACTTGAGAAAGAAAACAGAAAAAAGCCATTCCTTCAAAAAACCTGAATTCAAACAGGGGGACATTACCAATATGGAGCAACCATGATTTATAGGAATTATATGCTACATTAAATAGTGACAAGTACTGGCAAAATATATAAAGAAGAGGCTACATGTAGTGCACATTGCTAGAGAATGAGGGTAAGAGGACTGGAAACTGGGAGTGGAATATGTCAAATACATACCCAGAGAGAAAAATCTGAAGTTGAGGACAGAGGTCTGGACTAAAAACATAAATTTACTGATTCAATGTGCAAACTGCTCTTGTGTCTAAAAATGTCTTTCCTGTATTTCTAAGTATCTTAAATAATAACTATTTTTAACTACAAATTTAGGGTGCATTTAGAAGAGCCCATGGCGCCAGGAACATCACTGCTGATGACACATGAATACTGGCTAAAAGCAGAGTATGTCAGAAGGATGTCAATTTGAGTTTTATTGACTATACAAAAGCATCTGACTGTGTGGCTCATAATAAATTATGGCTAAGATTAGGAAGAATGGGAATCCAGGAATACTTAATTATGTTCATGCAAAACCTATAAAGATCCTGTGGTATGAACAGAGTAAGGAAACACTACATGGTTTAAAATTAAGACAAGTGTGTGCCATGACTATATCCTTTCTCCATATCTAATTTGTACGCGCAATAAATAATTCAGGAAACTAGACTATAAGAAGAATGTAGCATTAGGATCAGAGGAAGACTCATCAGCAACCTGCACTATGGACAACTTTGCTTGCTGAAAATAAAGTTTTGAAATGCTTGTTGCAGAGGACCAAAGACTGAGCAGCCTTCAGTATGGATTACATATTAACATTAAGAAAACAAAAATCAAGGAGCTCTGGTGGCCTAGTGGCAAGAAGTTGTACTGCAATCCCAAAGGCACATGGTTCAAATCCAACAGATGCTCCGCTAGAGAAGGAAGAGCAATCTCTTCCTGTGCCAGTCAGATCCGATTCGATGGTAAACAACAAGGAAAAAAAAAGAAAAAAAGAAAACAAAAATCCTCCCTACAGGGTCAATAGGCAAAATGATAAATGGAGAAAAGAAAGAATTTGTCAATGACTTGATTTTGCTTGGATCCACGTTAATACCCTTGGCACCAGCAGGCAGGAAATTAAAAAATGTATTGCACTGGAAAAGTCTGCTGTCTTTGAAGATTTAAGTGCACCTGAACCAATCCATGATCTTTTTTATTATGTGCTATGCCTCTGAAAGTTGAACAATAAGTAGGTGATAAGAGAATAACTTTGATATGTGGTGTTGGAGAAGAGTGCTGAATATTCCATGGACTGTCAAAAGGACCAGCATGTCTCAGAAAAGGTGTAGCCAGGGTGCTCCTTGGGTATGCTGTTAGGAGGAGTTTGTCACAGGAAAAGGACATCATTCTTGGAAAGGTGGAAGGTCAGCAAAAGGGTGGGACCCTCAAGGAGAAAAGACTGACAGTGACTGTAACAATGGGCTAGCATAGGTCAGAGATTAAAAGAATGACCCAGGCTGGGCAAGGTTCAGATCCATTGTTCTCATGGTCTCTGTGAGCTGTGAACTCAATGGCACTGAGGAACATTTTTAATAGCCCAAATATCCTTTATTCTAAAGACTGAAGTGATAACAGTAGTTGATTGTTTTAATACTTCTCCTTCGAAAAATTAAAAGACTGGAGGGATTTTTTTTAATCTAAATATTCATGCAATCCATAAATCCATCTGAAACCATAAAAAATACAGAAGGAATAGGACTTAAAAACCAAATATATTTCAGAGGTCAAGAAAGCCATCTGCTTATAACCTACATACTTTTCTTTTTCCATGGTTTTCTTTTCTACTACCACCTTCTTATATATCAGCCAAAGGTTGTCTTTTTCCTTAGCTGACTAAAATATCTTCTTTGGTGGCTGAGTTGTCCTGCCAAGCAACAAATAACTCACCAGCTGCTCCAAAGGAGAAAGATGGGCAATTAACTCCTGTAAGATTTACAGCCTCTGAAACCTCACTAGAGATATAAGTCAGTTCTGACTAAAAAGTATACCAATTAATCCTAAATACAGGATTTACTGCAATTTTAGTAAGTTATAAGTTATAAGAAAAACAAGAGTAAAATTTTTAAATTTAAAAGAGTTTTGAGAAGTATGAAAACAAATCTCAACATAAAAATTTCCTCCCCCCATTTTCACTATACTTCTTAGTTCCTCAACCAAAACTTTATTCCTGGTAACACCAAAACCTAAAACCACTTTTACGTCTCTTTGAATTTCAAAACTAGTGCTCTTTCATCTTTTTTTCTTTAATTAAAACAATTTCTTCAACAGACTCTACCAAGCATTCTAAAGGACTTTGGAATGTAATGAAGATTAACAAATATGTAAAAAAAAGGACATTCATTAACTCAGCTAACTTTTACTGAATGCCAACTACATTCCTGCCCTGATCAGTAAGAAAACAAGGTTACTAAACAATTTCATAGTACATGAAATCTTGTGATAGAGTCAAGCCTAGGGTATGATGACATCAGATGAGGAAAAGCATATAATTAACCTATATTGATGGAGCCAGATTGTCCTGTCTTATCCCCACAACCATGGCTATGCTTGAGTCCCCTGTTGCTGCCACTGTGTCAGTCATCCTCTTTCTCAATGATCTTCTCTACTTTATCAAGCATGATGTCCTTTTCCAGAGGCTGGTCCCTCCCAATAATGTGTCCAAAATACATGAGACGAAGTCTTATCAGCCTTCATTCTAAGGAACATGTACTTCTTCCAAGATATATTTGTTCGGTGTTTTGGCTTTCCATGTATTATTCCATGCAGTATTTTTTTCCAATACTATAGTTCAAAGGCATCATTTTCCTTCAGTCTTACTCACTGTTCCGCATCCACATGCATACTGAGTTGTTGCTGTTGTTATGTAACGTTAAATCCTAGCTGACCCTCCAGTGGGCTTTCAGAAGCAGTAAACTGCCAGGGGGAGGTGGCCTATCACTCTCCTGTGGAGCAGCTGATGCACCCACATACCTTTGGGTGACTGAAAATAACACAGCTTGTGTCAGGTGAAGCTTAGTCTTCAAAATGCACCTTTGCTCTTTAATAAAATTTTGCAGACTATTTACCCAACACAACATATTGTTTGATTTCTTGACTGCTATTTCAATGAGTGTTGATGTGCATCCATGTAAAACCAAAATCTTGATAATGCCAATCTTTCCTCCATGCATAATGATGTTGCTCATGGGTCCAGTTGTGAGGATTTTTTAACTAGGTTACTAAAACACAGACATCATGCTCTTTACAGGCTGCTTGAGAAGGGGTACTATTTCACTGCTGCTTGTCACGCATGTTCCTGCTGCTGGGTACTATCAAGATATTTCAATTCATACGTGACAGAGCAGAACAGCCCCACTGGAGGTAATCTTTACGAGTCTAGGTCACCAAGTCTTTCTCCTTTGGAGTAGTTGGATAGGTAGACTGCAATCTCTACCTTTTCATTAACAGGCAGGCCTTAACTTTTGCACCACAAATATCAATTTAAAAATCTAGTACATTCTTGTCTGGTATTATCCAATGTCCTTAAGGCAACTGTGGTAGTCACTCTGTAAGTCCACTCCATTGATGGTCTTCCTGTCCTTCTCTGACTCTATGGTATTCCAAGCATGATGTCCTTTCCCAAGGGCTGGCTCCTCCTCAACATGCCCCAAAGTATACGAGATAAAAGTCTCACCATCTTTGCTCCTAAGGAGCACTTCTTCCAGAAAGATTTCTTTCTTGTGGCAGATGATGGTATGTTTAATATTTATTACCAGTACCACAGGTAAAAGGTATTGATTCTTGGGTCCTCCTTACTCACTGTTCAATATTCACAAGCATATGAAGTAACTGAAACACCATGCCTTTAGTCAAACACACCTTAGTCTTCAAAGTGACATTCTTGCTCTAGACACTTTAAAGAGGTCCTCTCCAAAGAGAATAAACAAATTCTGCCTATCTAGTAATGTTTGCAATGTAACATTTCTCACTAGGAGTTCTTTCCTGATTACATAAAGTATGTCGATATCATTTCTACAATTAGCTTCTAGGATCCTTGGAGACAAAGTTCATATATGATTCACGTTTCTAATTGTTTTAAAAGTGCTGGTTAAATGATGAATGCAGTAGATTTAAATAAAAAAAAAAAAAAACAAAAAAAAAGAACAACTACAAAACAATAAAACAACCACCAGTTTTGTAAAACTTTTAACACATTGCCACACACTTTTAAATTGACGACCGTGCATAAAAACACATTTTTTTTCACTATAGCCATCATTTGCGGCAACGTGTTAAACTGTTTCTCTTTGATTCCCAGTATGACTTACAAATATATCCTACAAGTTCTAGGACAAAAATATAAAATAGTCCAATTCCTAGCAAAACATAGTTCAAAACATCTTTTAAAACTCTCGTATATTCTATTAATCTCAACGTGATTAGCATAATTTAAAGTAGAAAAATTGAACATGCTAAGGAGTGGATTTTCAATAGTTGCAGAATATTTAGAAAATGCATACAAAAGCAACAAAAATTGCAAAGCAGAATCAAAAATGATGCTTGACTGTATTAATGGAAAAGCACAGCGCATAGACTGTCACCTTGCTTAAAAGCAACAACATTCAAAAATCTCAGAAGCACCATTCAAAAATCTCAAAGACACAAATGAAGCTTTCTTAATAATTAACTTGATAGTAGAAATCTCATAAATGCAAAAAAAATTGCAAGCTAGTATACCTAAGACAAAACTAAAAGACAACATTTTGCAGGCACCCCTACCTTTCTTTTTGCTTGTGTGATACCCTAAATTCAAGGAGGAGAAAAGAAAACAAACCATTGATAACATGTATCCAGTCAAATACTTTCTCCCCAAGTACAAATCATAATAAATAAGAGACTACTTATAAAATTGAGACCAAAAGTTTACAATAGTGAAAAGCTCAGGAATATCTTGAGGATGACTAGCAATATTTTGACAGTTTATAATAATTTTAAAAATGAAATTATATTTTAAAGTTTGCAGTCAACCTTTATTTTAGCTATTATATAATTTAATCAAATATACTTAAAATAAGAATTTTGCTTTGAAATACATTAAACAATTAAGCAACTACTCTGGCAATTAAATGAGTATGTTAAATTCAATTTTGCTTAAAGGAAAATAATTAGCACTTATAACTCCATGTATCATTTTAATCCATGATTTGAAGAGTGTTAAGTGCCAACTTGAATGGTGAATCAAAACATGTTTAAGCAACATGGTAACTTTACAGAAAATATGCATAATCAGAATTTACAATCTTATTTAAAATTAGAACACAACTATTCTATCCCAAACATCAGCCAACAGATTGGTTATCTCTATCAATGTCATATGTATGTTGTTATTTGTTGTAATATATATATATATATCAGACATACACGCACTTTTTATATCATATAGATGTCATATGTGCTACTTCAACATTCAAAATTCAAAAGTTGCAACTCATTTGCTATACAGCAATGAAAATCTGAAATTCATGCACTTGACAAAAACTCTGAGAAAACAACAGATTTAGGAGATGAATTCTGAAGCATAAAGCAAGAGAGTCAACAGAATTCTTTACCTGAGTAAGATAGCGTCTGTAATCTTGCCGCAATTCTTCTTTTAGTTTATGTTTCTTCCGTTCATAGTCTTCCCCAAGTGGTAAACTTAGTCCATAATCAATTCCTAAAAGGAAACAACTTTTTAAGTAATATGGTTCATTTCAAACCAATTTCCTGGACAAAGCACACTAAGAAGGAACTTAGTAATGTGGATACTAAGACTGAGATAAGACGACGACTTTTTTTTCATGTCAGTGCTTCAGTAGGTTATTACAAATATTCAGTGGAAAATACCTCTACCGCCCATGGACCACAGCTACCTCATTCTCTAACCAGAGACAATGAATATTACCATTTCTTATGGTTCCTCCCAAAGGTATTTTATTAATTTATAAATAAATACTTTATTATTTCATCTCCCCTTAGGTAAATGATCCTACATTGTTCTGCATGTGCATCAAGGACAGCAACATTAAATCAGAGATAAGTTTATTATAAAACTTGACTTAATTTTACTATCATTTTCATTTTTATAAAAGCAAATACCTACAACAATATTTACTGCTTCACCTTTCAGTATGGGAAGTTGATTAACATTTTAATATACAAAATTACTTGTTGTCACATGTTTCTAAGCATAATTAGGACCTAGCACAGCTTAGACAGGAATTTTTCAAAAATCTTTACATTTCATTAAACTATCAGTTCTGATTTCATACAAATTAATGCTCATTTACAATGAAAACATCTATTTTAAGTCTATAAAGTTCAAAAGTTATTGTATTTTAGAGGACAAAAATGTCTTACAACTAGATTGATGAATACTGCTTAAATTGTGAATAAAATGTACTAAAAACTACTCATTTGTACATTTCAAATGGGAAAATTTCATGGTACTTAAATTATATCTCAATAAATCTGTTACAAATAAAATTACATACTTTTCAAATAGTTTCAATAGTAAAATACTATGTCAAGAAGCACAGATATCAAATGTGTGTTCTCTTTAGATTTCTGAAGCCCCTCTCCTCCCTTTGTTCAGTCCTATTACACTCTAGTACAATACATGAAGTTAGTATTTTCAAATAAATTTTCTTCCCAGATGTAGCTAAAACAACTCTAAGTATAATAACCAATCCTAGTTTATATACTCTATACATAACACCTATTGGTGCTCTTTTCCTCATAATGAAGCTACCTTATAGTAACTTGCTATGAATATGATACATCATTGCTTTATTACATCATTAAATTATTTCAGAGGTGAAAAGCCAAACTAGTATAAAAAAATTAATATACACTGATTTTTCTGGAATACTAAATTTCCCTTCCCACAATTACAACAGCCAAAAAAATAAAAACAAAATTGTTACTATCAAATCAATTGCAACTGTCTCCTAATGAACAGAACCTAGTAATGTCCCATCGGTTTCCTGGGTTGTTATCTTTATAGAAGGAGCCTACTACATCTTTCTCCTAGAAAGCTGCTGTTGAATTCAAGCTTTTGACTTTTCACTTGGCAGGAGAGTACTTACCCACTGTGCCAACAGGGACCCCCTTCACAGCACAGTCTAGAAAACCTCATTACTGATGTATCAAAACAGCTCCTAGTTGGCCTTCCACAGGGTTTCCGAGGCTGTAAAATGCCCAGCAGGAGTCTGTCCATCTCTTTCCCAGGAGAGCAGAGCATGCTGGGTTAGCAGCATGACTCCCTGGGGACTATGCTACTAGAGCCTCCTATAAGCACTGCAGACATCGCCTTATAAACACTTCTAGCCTAGGTGGCCCTCTGAAGAATCCATAGGGACTATTTTCACGCCTGTTTGACCATTTTACTATTTTCACACATGCTTTAACCATTCTAGAATCATTCTAGAAAGAGCACTTTCCTCACCAGATTCGTGACTTTATGTTTAAAGCGACAAGATTTAAGCCCAATTTTCATCCTCAGATTCAGAAGGGAGGATGGCTTATCAAACTAAACTATACAATTCTGAAAGACAAGATCCATCCTTTATTCAATTTTATTACATCTAGTACACAAAACGCATCCAAGAAATGTCCATGGAATAAAGTGAGTGAATGAATACATGTAAATGAAGGCCTGAGTAAGAGGAAGGAATGAGAGAAAGGGAGAAAAGAATATGCTATTCTTAATATTTCACTTCTGCCAGCAGGGATCTGACTGCATAAGGAGAGGACACAGAACTAGCAAACCAGGTTTCGTCTCTCTAGTAACGCAGGGTCACAATGGATGCCCTATTGTGTCGAGAGGGAAAAGAACAAGCAGGAGGATAGTGCCGCTCCTACAAGCCCTGCTTTCCCACACAGGGATCAGAAGCTTATAGTGCTCAGAAAAGTGTTCTTCAATTCTGCTCAGTGAGTTGACAGGAAGAAGAGAAAAAATGAGATCCACTTTAATTTATAAACTGCTTTCTGTGAAGAGTTCAATTTTATTAATCACATACTTTTCAAATAGCTTTAATAGTAAAATACGACATCAAGAAGGACAGATAGCATATGAGTGTTCTTTTTAGATTTCAAATAATCTTACCAAGAGTATCTGCTTTTCACTATGAATTTGTAATCATTCTATTAACAGACAAGTAATAATATACCTAGTTTATCATTTTATTATAAGATTCCATCAACAGAAAACAGTAACTTTTAATTAGTTTTGTATCTACTAACATTTTAACTATACAGGTAATATTAACATAATTATACTAACATTTTTAAAAGATTAGAGGCAAGTCACAGAAATAGCTGTATGGAATAATTTAAACATTCTATTTTGAACTATGTATTAGCAATTCCATCTCATTTGACTTAATGAGCTAAGAAACACATTAATACTGACTTACTCAGCATCTATCTTCCGATGGTTCTAGTGGCAAATAAAGCATTAATGTTATTTTAGAGTCACTTAAAGTGATGTCACTTCACCAAGTGAAACAGTGACACCAGAAGCAGTTAGCAGAAACGTTAAAAACTATAAAAAATTGAAAATATTTGCTTTCTCTAATGGTTACAGATTAAATGAAATGTTGAAAATAAAGTATACAATTTTTAAAAATTCATTTGTTTTTTAATATAACATTCATACTAGAAATTATTTATAAAGCAATTTACCACACAACACTTAATTCCTGTATTATATTTCTGATTTTTATATATACTCTTCAGTATTAATAGAATCAATGTTTGTTGTTGTAGTACCACAGAGTTAGAACCGACCCATAGGTGACCCTCTGGTGGGTTTTCAGAAGCAGTTAAACGCATGGGAGGACACTGTCTACCCTTCTTTCACGTTGTGGCTGATGGCCTCAAACCACGTACTTTTGGGATTGCAAGCACAGCTTCTTGCGACTAGGTCACTATATAAAAATAATCTAATTACAGGAAATAATAGGATTAGCAATGTTCTCAAACTTTAGCTATAAAAAGGGAGCAGTAGAAAAACATTCTTCAACTTGCACAAACTGAACAATACAGGTAGAAGATTATCTGGGATTCAGATAGATCTCAGTGTTTTTATTTCGGGGTCTGTCTTCAGCTTGAATATGTATTTCTCATTTTTCATATCTGGAAAAGTTCCAACAAATCTTTAACAATGTCCTCTATCCTTTTGACTCTTCCTATTCTGAAATTCCAGTCAAATTCAAAATATTTCTCTTGATATCCCACATGATTTTCACACTTTCTCCATTTGCTTCTTTTTTCTGATTTAAGATTAGTATTGAGATATTTTCTTCCATCTCACTAAGTCTATGATGCATTTCTTCAACTCTAATCTTTTGTGTTATCTATTTCTGAAATTTTAATCTTAATTTTCTGAATTTCTATTTGCTGGTTTTGTATGGCCTCTAATTTTTCATTTTATCAATTTTGTCTTTTTATTTCCATTCGTTCGAGAAGCATTTTGCCTTCTGATTTTCTGGTTTTCTATCTTGGTCTCTTTCTTGTTTTATCTTGTCCTAGCTTTTTAAATGATGTAAAAAGTCTGCATTATTTAGTTTTTATATATTTGATTGAGCCATGAGTGAGTAGCACCATTTATTATCTTGGTGATTCTTGGCGTTTCACCCCCTATCTTCTGGTAGGCGTGATAAAGGATGGAGCTCTGTATGCGGTTCTGAGTCTGCTGTTTGTTTAGAACAGTTCAGGTCCAACGAGATTAGTGTAGCTTATGGTCTGTTGGAAACCAGGTGAAACCGGAGCAGGTCTTCACTCATCATCCCCAGTGGGTGACGCTGCAGGAGGTGTGTATGTGGTTGGATACTGTTGTTGTGTGTCATTAAACACGACAAAGAAAATGGAAAACAAAATACAGGCTGGTCCGAGTGCAGTGGAAGCCACAGCTAATTTGATCACAGCCAGTCATAAAAAATAGAAAAGCTGGAATTGGGAGGCGTTCAAAAGCAATGAGAATCTAACTAAAGCAAAATTGAAAGGAAAGAAAACCAGAGAAGACTGACCAGTAATAAAAAGGACAAAATATAGAGAAAAAACAGAAAGGGGAAGATAAAGGGAAAAAAATAAAAACAAAACAAAAAACCAGGAGCAAAAAAAAAAAATAAACAAGAAAAGATCTGAAGAGTGGTTGTTGTTGTTAAGTGTTGTTGAGTCGCAGGCGACTCATAGCGACTCTATGAAGGAGAGTCCTCAACGCTTGGGTGCCTTTCATCCTTTCTCCAGGTTCATAGGGTTTCTGGAGGCAAGCTATTATGGAAGTGGATGCCACTCCTCCTTCCAAGCTTGTTTTAATCGGGGAGCTCCACCTACTCTCTGTCTGCAATGGGTAGCCAACCATTAACGCATCTGACACATCAGTGTCATAGTGAGAAAGGAAGGGAGGAATCCTGGAAAAGGGGGACTGCCACCTGATAGGACTCTTCCACTACTGTAGTAAATGGAAGCAAGACATCTGGCTGGGACAGTGTGTCTTCCAGGTCAACAGGCTGGAGCTGGGTACCCTGTCTCGTCAGTTCTGCTTGTCTGAGATGTGGCTGAAGCCACATGTTATGATCCAGGAAACAGATAGTTCCTCTTCTGATCTAGGGAGTGCCAAGTAAGGCATCCAGTCCAGGAAAGAATTTCTGTAGCCCTCAGAGGAGCCTAGTATGGTCTGCCTGGCTAGGGATGACATCTCTGGCACTCCAGGGCCTGGGTGAAGGCAGAGTCACCAGCTGGAGATGACTAGTATAAAGAGATAGTAACTGCCACCCTGAAATGCCCAAGAATGGTACACTCCACAAGAGGTGCACCGTTCTGAAACGTGAAGGCATATGCTGAGTAAGGGAGATACAAAGGTTCCAAAGGAGAGGCAAGGATCCCAGTCAGACGTAGTTCCTGCACTACTCCGGGTGCTAGCTGCAGGCCAGCCACACGTGGCACAGAGTGTAATCGCTCCAGAGAGTCTGAGTGCAGAGCCATGTACACATTCCCAAGCCAGAATCAAAATGGTAGGGCTGGCCTCAGACCAAGGGAACACTGCTAGCCACCTTGTGAGTGGTGGGGGTACAGAAAGTGACTCCCCAGAGGACATCGGGAACAAGAGGTTCAATCACACCTCTCCTGCCACAGCCACTGATGGAGACATTACTGCAGTATGAGTTTCCATGCTGACCAAAAAGCTGTTCAAAATGGCCTGACTCTGCTTTTTACTCTTCTGTATTCCATCTGTCCCCTTACTTGTTGCTTTCACTTCCTTTCTTCCCTTCAGCTGACAATTTAACTACTTTTTTCTTTTTTCAATGCAGAGTTCCAGAATTATTATCTGTATCTATGATCTTTGTTTTCTAGTGTCTTAGTTGAAGAAAGCCACTGTTTTACCTGGAGGTTCAAAAGTAACATTTTTAATCTTTACTTTGTTAACTATAATCTTCTTGCATATAGATTTCCAAAATAATAAATTCAAATTGTTGTTGTTGTTGTTGTTATGTGCTGTCGAGTCACTTGAGACTACTAGTGACCCTATGTACAACAGCCCTAAACTCTGCTCTGTCCTGTGCCAATTGCACTGTCTCCTACACACCCATCCGATTACCCCAGTCACTGAATCAATCCACCTCGTAGAGGGCCTTCCCCTCCTGCACCTGCCCTCCACCCTCCCAAGCATGATGTCCCTCTCCAAGGACCAGTCTCTCCTTAAACATGACCAAAGATGAAGCCTCAGAATCCTTGCCTCCAAGGAGCAGCCCAGTTTAACCCTCTCCAGGATGAATCTGTTTGTTTTCTTAGCAGTCCATGGTACCCTCAATACTCTTCTCCAACACCAAAACTCAAAGGCATCAATTCTCCTTCTATTCTCCCTAATCATTGTCCAACTCTCTGATGCCTATATCAGAAGCACCTTAGTCTCCAGAGAGACACCATTGCTCTAGTAAACATTGCAACATAAAATATTGGACAACAGCATTACTAATATGTTACAGACTACAGTATTAACATTATAGCTAATATTTGTATAAGAGTGAGAGGTAATAGCACTGATATAATGGATTAGAAAGCCATGAGACTGTAGAAAAAGAGATGAGTTCCTGGAATACCCTAAATTTAGAGGTGAGGGAACTAAAAGGAACATCAATGACAACAATAACAACAACAAAAAGATGATAGAAAAGAGCTAATCAGGGATCTACAAGAGCACTCAGAGGCTCTGCTGTGACTTTCTTATTCATGGTTATAGCAAAAATATACAACACAAAATGGGAAAAGATGCATGGCACAAAGCCCAAAGGAAATCAAGAGCAAATCTTCAAGTTCCTCCTCCAGAGGAGAAATGTAAGACATATTTTTCCAGCAAGGACTTGTAACAGCAAATGTGAAGTTTCTACAAGGGAACTTCAGTAAAGACTCAGTGTCCAAGGTTTTTATTGGGGTATCAAAAACACCTCTCTATCTAGCATAAATCAAGAATCCATACTTTCCCAGAAGGAAAGCAGGTGTTCAGCATAACCCTGTAATTCTGATTTTCCTTAATCTTTCCATCCTGCCCCTTTCTGCCTTTTGAGCCTTCTTCTTGGGTGAATGCTACCTTCTGACCTTCGGTGGCTGGTTATTCTAAAGAGTAAGGGCCTCTCTCACACACTGTTTATAGGCCAGCATGTTGTCTAGCTCAGAGTTGTTTCAACGAGCCATAGGCAAAACTAACAAAGGAAGACAAGAAGAAGATGTAAATAACACAATTAACAAAATCAAACAGATGTGGTCACACAGCAACTGAAAAAACAAGGATAACAACTCTACACTCCAACAAGTTTTTACAAACACACTGTCTACCTAAATACAACCAGAAATAGAAAATTTAAACAGACTATCACAAAGGAAACAACTGAACAGGTGAGAAACAGACTTGCAACCATAAAAAATCCTGGGCCAATTGGCTTCATTAGTGAATTCTACTAAACATTCAGAGAGGAGCTTACACCAATTCTGTTCAACTATTTAAGAATACAGAAAAAGATTAAATACTCTTTAACTCATTCTATGAAACAAACATAACCCCGATACTTCTTCTTGTGTACTAATGAGTCTGAACCAAAAATCTATATAGGATTTTTAGAAGCAGTTAATTGCACTGGAGGAGAATGTCCATCCTTCCACAGAACAACTGGTAGATTTGAATTATATGCCTTTGGGACTGAAGATTTAGAAAGTCATGAACACTCTAATAGTTAACGAAGTCAAGATAAGAGGTCCCTCAGGAGTGAAGAGAAAAGGGCCTAGGACAGAGCTCTGAGGAGTAACAAAGAATAAGCAAAAGTAATTATCTTTTAATACACTTCTAACCTATATACCATTGTAAAGGTAATGATAAAAACAAATGTAGGGTTTTTAATTCTTAAATGCAAGACCTAATTTTTGAAACATGTATAAGATAAAGGGAAATGAAAATTTATTGTGTATCAATTATGTGGCAATCATATCTGCATATGTATTCAATTAGCCCACAACAATCTTTTAAGATTGCTAATTCTTAAAATGAAAAGACTAAATCATTTGTGCCAGGTCACAAAGACATGACCACCTCAATCCAAAGTAAATCCTAACTTTAGAAATTCTAAATTATTCTGTCTGCCTTTACTGCCTGAGAGACATATTACTCAAAAATTTTTTTTCTATAATTATATTTTATTAATTTTCATAAACATTTACAGAGATTTTGGGCTTCCACTCATTCATTGTTGCACTATTCTCTCTACCCTCCTCCCAGTTTGTTCTTGTCCAAATGCCACAGTGCTTGTCAAAGCCAGTTCTGATTAATCTTCTTTGTCAGTGTGTCCTTTGCCATTCCCTATCACTCCTCCCTGAGAGAGACTTCACCCTGAGTCATAAGGAAAAGGGGATGGCGTATTCTCTTAGCTACTTCCTGCTGAAAAGGGACGCTGTGGGTTTCAGGGTGAAGATCTTCTCTCGCTACTCTAAAGGGCCCCTTTGGCAGTAGGAAACACATAGACTATTATGGAGATTGATTTTGGAATTTAGATGCACTCTTATTGATTGTGCTTGGCCGTACATGTTCATATCCTTGAAGATGTATCATGGGGGTGTTGCAACCTAGAAGACACAAATTTGACTAACAAGTTATAAGTACATGAGTCCAAAAATTATGGAAAAGTAAAAGAAAAGATTCTTTCCTTGTTTTACAAACCCTCCCCCAGGTCCCCTTCACCATGTAGCCCTCGCTCTAGTCTCCTGTGATGACAGAAATACCTAGTTATATCTCTCTTTTAAACGGTTTTCTCCCTCCTCTGTTTCAGTGCAGTATACATTATTGAACCCATCTTACTCAGTCTCTCCCCAACCCCAAGGACAGTCCCATTAAACTTTTAATTTTAAAAAATAATAAAAATTTGCACTCATGAAATTTAAGGGCTGGAAGATAATCTCATTTCTTTAAGCAATACAGATAAATTGAAATCGTACAAATTAAGAAATGTAACCATAATGTAAAACTTAAATTCACTAGAGCTGTATGTTCTTCATCTATTTGTAAGCAAATCAGAACTGAAAGGGTAATTTACCAATTCAGCACTAAGAGAAGAACATTTACTCAAAGTCGTTTTTCTAAAGCAACAAAGAGCCCACTGACTCGCCAGTCCCTTCAACAGCCTACCCTTGTATCCATCCAGTAGAACCAGCAGCATACAAATGCAAAACAGTTAGCAATTCTAGAGTGTACCTGCTGCCATAAAAACAGTCCAAATGAGAATTCCTGAATCAAATTAACTCACCTTTTCTATCTCCTTTGTATGAAAAAGTTTCCATCATCATCAGTAATTTATACACTGTATATTAAAAATACACACACACTTCCTTACCATAAAAAAATTACCAACAGATAAAAATGTGGTAAACCCACAAAGTTTCCAAATATTTTCATACAAATTTATAATTAAAAATCAGTATAGTGCAGTGTTAACTAATTTAAAATTCCAATATAGTTACCAAAAGCTAAAATTGTTTTTTATCTAATAGCATTTAACAATCTTTAAGTATTTTTCCTTTTTGAGTCTACCATTTTTATTCAACAAATAGACAGCTTTTATATTGTTTTTAATTAACTTTTAATTATTGCTATGATTTCCATAAATCATAACCAAACATCTCACATAATGAGTGCAAAGTTCTCAGTATACTTCATTGTGTACACCATGTTGTGTTAAATAAGACTTTCAGAAAGGGAAGTGTTACTGAGATTCCAAACACCACACATTTTTGTCGAGGAGATAAATCTATTTCACAACAGCTTGCTAAGAATGTTTAACAAGTAATGACCTACCCCAGGAGCCCTTGGTATGCTGGCTGTTTGGCGGGATGTTTTCCTTTGCCATGGAGATTAATATCTTACTGTTTTCAGAAAGTTTCTCGGATGCTTTCCCCTGAAAAAGACATAATATTTACAAAAGCAGGGGACTAAAAAACCACAAAATATCAATCAAGTCTGCCTCATTAGCATTTTTAGTAAACAGTGACAAAATTACACAATACATCATGGGGGGACAAAAGGTACATGTAATGTTTCAAAAATTAACCAAAGATATTTAAATAACAATAAATATTCAAATATTTAATCCATTTCCTTATCTTGAAATATATAATGATCTCCTATTATATGCCTATCAGTATTTCCATTCAAAATAAATATGAACAAAACATACAAGAATATATACCCTCATGTTGTTGTTGTTGTTGTTGTTGTTGTTGTTAAGTGCCATCAAGTCATAGACAATTCATAGCGACCCTATGAACGAAAGACCCGAACACTTATATAATTTACATTATATCTCCAAGTTCAAAGAGTTTCTGGAGGCAAGCTGTTTTGGAAGTGGATGCCACTCCTGCTTCCAAGCTTGTTTTAATTGGGGAGCTTCACCAAACACTGTCCACCATGGGTAACCACTATCCCATTTGACACATCATTGTCACAGTGTTTAGCATCACAGCAAGCACGAGTTACCTCTGGACAGCAAATGGACAGACCAGTGCTATACCACTTAAAAGAATGTTTGACCAAAAACAATTAAAACCTACCCTCATAGCAGCTACAAATACACAGAAACATAATATATATGTGTGTGTGTGTGTAGAAGTATGTCTATATACATATATATACACATACACACACACACACTTCTTGTTGTTGTGTAATATCGAGTCAAAACTGACACATTACTGACCCTCTGGTGGGTTTCAGAGGCAGTTAAGCTCACAGGAGGAAATTGTCCATCCTTCACCTGTGGAGTAGCTGGTGGCCTTGAACCAAGTGCCTTTCGGACTGCAGCACAGCTTTTTGCCACTTGGCCACCAGCATAATTAGATTATGTGGTATGTAGAGAGTGGTAAGAAGGGGCTATGGAAAAAAAATACAGTGGGGAAGGAGGAATGACTTGGGCCTCACTGAGCTGGTGGTTGTTATTGTTTTAAGAACTGACCCAAATAAATACATTTTTCAGAGTCAAAAAAATGTTTTAAAACAGCATTTAGTTAATTTTCTAGCCATTGTTTCTATCCTAGAACTTCTTTGTACTGAACCAGTCTTTTATCATTTTACAAAGTGTATAAGTTAATTAAAATGCTAATAAAAAAGGAAAACAGTATGAATTCTAAAACACAAATGAAAACTGCATTCAAAATCACTAAAATCTTGTCTAGTGTCAAGTTATAAGAGAATGATATGAAGGCAAGACACAGAAGAGCAGTTTCTTCACATTTTCACACAGGGTTAACCTTTTATGTTAATAAACAAGTTGGGTAAAGTTAGTAAATTCACCTTCATTTCCATGTAAGGTGGATCACTTTCCAAATCTGCTTTGTCTTTGGCCAACTTGGCTTTTCGTTCTTCAATAAATTCATCCAAATTATCAGCCATTTTTCAGACTCTTAAAAACAATAAATCGGAACAAGCTTTAATGTGTGCAGCTAAGTCACAGTATTTTTAGTGTAGTTATAGACATCGGGTAATCCACATTTAGTATTCAAATTCACTGTTCAAATTGAGAACTTCAGACCTAACGCTTGACATAAAAATGCTTGTCTGCCCACATACACATATACAGTATCTTCTAATACCATTTACAGGGTGAATTAAATAATAGTCCTTTACCAATTCTATTCTCAACACTGCACACTGCATCTATGTTTCTAAACTACTCTCTAAAAATCTAAAACTTATTTTAAAATATGTAAGCAAGCCACCAAAGCTGTCACCATTCCTATTCACGTCCCAAAAAGAAAAAAGGAGAGGAAACAATAAAATGCTTACATCAAATCACTTCAAAAATATGTTTTTACTATTTGGAACGAAAACTTGCAAGGATAGTACAAAGAACATCTGTTAAGACTTTACCTAGCACCTAGTGTAACAATTTGCCCCCATTTGCTTTATTATTTGTGTACACAAGACAAAAAGGGTTGCAGAGTGGAGTATACTCAGGGTGAGGGTGGGGGGGTGGTGTGCAAGGGGCGGGGGTGTTGTGTACCAATGAAGGAATTTTGCTTTTCAAGGAAAGGAGCAAACTGCAGGTGAGGGTGGGGTGGGCGGGGAGAAAAGTGCAACAAAGAATGAATGGAAGTCCAAAATCTCTGTAGCTGTTCATTGAAATTAATGAAAAAAAAAAAAAATTTAAAAATGTGTGTTCACATGCAAATGTTTTTTAAAAACTATTCAGGAGATTAATTATTTCTATAATGGTACTTTATCCATCCCCCAAACACTTCAGTAAGCATTTCTTAAGAACTGAGTCATTCTCTTACATAACCTCAACATAATTCTAAATTTCATAAACACTAATTTTTCATCTCATCTACTACTCAGTCCAATTTTGTCAATTTATCCTGTAACATCCTTTATCTTCCTCTACTTGCCGTTACGTGCTGTCAAGTATGACTTAACCCTGTCCTATTCTCATCCTTACAATCACTGACACTCTTCAAGCACACTGCTGCAGTAACTGTGTCAATCCACCTAAGGGTATGACTCTCCTTTGCTGTCCCCCCGCCCCCTGCCATCTTTCAAAGCATAATGCCCTCCTCTGAGGAGCAGCCTCTCCTAACGACATGCCCAAAATTATGTGAGATGAAGCTTCACCACCCTTGCCTCTCAGAACCACTCTCGATACACCTTCTCCAAGATATAGCTGTTTGTTCTTTTGGCAGTCCATGAGATATTCAGTACTCTTTTCCAATACTGCAGTTCAAAGTTCTTCTTCTGTCATCCTTATTCGCTATCCAACTCTCAGCAGCACAGCAAGAGCATAGTCTGAATCAGGCATGCCTCAATCTTCAAACTAAAACCACTGCTTCTCAGTAACTTGGAGAAATCCCCGACTGCAGACTTTCCCAGTCCAGTATGTCCCCTGATCTCTTAATTGCTGGTACAAAGTATACTGATTGTGGATCCAAGAAAAATGAAGTTGTTAACTTCAATCTTTTCTCCATCTATTAAGATGTCTCCTATTAGTCCAGTGGTGTGAATTTTTGTTGTCTTGATACTGAGATGCAATCCATATTGAAGGCTGCAGTGTTTGATTTTCTGCAGCAAGCATTTTAAGTCCTCCTCATTTTCACAAGCAAGGTTGTGTCATTCGCATACCAAATGTTATGGATGAGTCTTCCTCTGCTAATGATGCCACATTCTTCTTCACAGAAACCAACTTCTCAATTTGCTCAGCATACAGATTTAATAAGTAGAAGGAAGGATACAACCCTGACACACACTTTTCTTCATTTTAAACCATGTACTTTCCTTGCTCTATTTGCACAAAGGCTTCTCGATGTAGGTATGTTGTTGTTGTTAGGTGCCATTGATTCAAGTATGACTCATAGCAATCCTATGAACAAAAGATCAGAAACTAGTCCTGTTCTGCACCATCCTCACATTTCCTGACACACTAGAGCCCATTGCAGCAGTCACTGTGTCAATTCAACTGGTTGAGGGCCTTCCCCTCCTTCATCGACCCTACACCCTTCCCACCGTCATGTCCCTCTCCAAGGAACAGCACCTCCTAGCAATATGTCCAAAGTATGTTATGCAAAGCCTCCGCATTCCTGCCTCCAAAGATCATTCTGGCTGCACCCTCTCCAAGATATATCTATTTGTTTTCTTGGCCATCCATGGAATGTTCAGTGCTCTTCTCCAACACCACAGCTCAAAGGCATCAATTCTTTTTCTGTCATCCTTATTAATTGTCCAGGTTTCAGAACAATCAGAAAGACTACGGCCTGAATCAGGTCCTCAAATTGACAAAACTACTCCTCAATAATTTGGAAAAGTCCCTAACTACAGATACTCCCGTTGCAATGCATTTCCTTATTTCCTGACTGCTCGTATCAAGGGTGTTAACTGTGGATGCAAGCAAGATGACATTATTGACAGTTTAAATCTCCACTACATCCATCATGACACGGCCTACTGGTCCAGTGGTAAGAATCTTTGTCTTCTTGATATTGAGACACAATCCATACAGGAGGCTGCATTCCTTGATTTTCTGCAACAAGTGTTTCAAATCCTCACTTTCAGCAAGTAAGGTTGTATCATCTGCATAACACAGGTTATTGATGAATTTCACTCCAATCCTGATGCCACCACATTCCTCTTCACAGAGTCCAGCTTCTCAGATAATTTTCTCAGCATATAGATTGAACAGGTATGGAGATAGAATACATTCCTGATGCACCCTCTCCCCAATTTCAAAGCATGCAGTCCTCCCCTGCTCCATTCACACAACAGTTGACTGTGTGGATCATGACAAGTTGTGGTTCACATTGAGAAGAATGGAAATCCCAGAGCACTTGATTGTGCTCATAAGGAACCTCTACCTGGACCAGGAGGTTGTTGTGGGAATGGTGCAGGGGAGCACTGCATGGTTTGTGTTGTGATGTAGATACAGGCTTCACATTATTTCATTGTTGTATACTGTTCAAATGAGAGCTAGGCAATGACTAAGGATGACAGAAGAATAATCGATGCCTTTGAATTGTGGTGCTGGAGATACCATGGACTGCCAAGAGAACAAACAGGTCTGTTCCAGAGAGGGTGAAACCAGGTTGCTCCTTGGAGGCAAGAATTTTTCATCTCTGTCTCACATTTCTGAAGGAACCAGTCCTTGAAGGGACATCATTCTTAGAAAGGGTGGAGGGTCAATGCAGGAGAGGAAGACCTTGGATGACTGTAGTAATGGGGACAGATGTGACAGAAACCGTGAGATTGACTCAGGATAGGGTAGGGTTCAGAGCTATTGTTCACAGGGTCACTATGGGTCATGATGGACTCTATAACACATAACACAGAAACAACAGCAACCCAAAGTGCGGCCAGGGTGCTCCTTAGAGGCAAAGGTGGTGAAAACTATCTCACATACTTTGGACATGCTGTTGGGAGGTACCAGTCCTTGGAAAAAGATATCATGCTGGAAGAGACAGTATTAGTGAAAGAGAGGAAGACACTCAATAAGATGGACTGACACAGTGACTGTAATAATGGGCTGGAGGACAGAGATGATGAGGATCACAGAAGACAGGGCAAAGTGCAGATCTACTGTTCATGGGCTTGAGGTGGCCTAGTGGTAAGCAGCCACGCTGCCAACCCAAAGGCATATGGTTTAAATCCACTAGCTGCTGAATTAGAGAAAGATGGATAATCTCCTCCTGTGCTATTGATTGTCTCTGAAAACCCGGTGGAAAGTCAGCTACAGTTCGATTCTGGCCCAACAGCATACAGCAAGAACATGAGTAATAGTCAACTGACAGGACCTAACAACAACAGCAATATGACAGAGCAGACCTTCCCTGTAGGGTTTTCTCTAATGTTTCCAGGAGCAGTTTGTCAGGTCTTTGTGCTCGGAGAAGCAGCTGGTAGATTTGAGTGCTAATCGTCCTGTTAACAACTGAGTACTTAATCATTTGCTCTCTCACTGCCATCAAATCGGAACCGATTCCATAGCTGACCTACAGCTTTCAGAGGCTGTACATCTATCTCCTGGGAAGAGTGCCCATCTTTCTCCTTTGGAGCAGCTGGTGGACTTGAACCACTCCTTTTGAGTTGGTACAACTCTCTATCTACCAAACCATTTAAATCTTTATGCTACCAAAATCCTTTGCTATCTAATTGATTCCTATTCTCAGTGACTTTTTAGGAGAGTAGAACCATCCCACAAGGTTTTTAAAACTGAAATCTTAAAAGGGACCCTGGTTTGTAGGGCTAAGCACTGGGCAGAGGTTAAGCAATCTTTCCATAAAGATTATGAGGCAGGACAGCCAGAGACAGGAAACCAAAAGCCACATGTTTTCCCCAAAGAAAATACACCAAACACCTTATTGCAACACTTATTTTCTCTCAAGTTGCTTTCCAGACAGAACTTGCTTAAACTGAATCCTTCAGCGTGCAGTCCACCAACCCACCTTTCTCTAGAGGCAGCAGAGAGCCTGCCCTAGCGAAGAAGGCTCGAACTGGCACCCACAGAGACTGCACAAGTGTATCATCCCATAATACAATCATGTCCACTGGTCCAAGTTAATCCACCCTCAAAGATTGCTTGCCGGTGCATTTAATTCCCCACCAAGACAGGTCAATTCCCAGAAAAGCCTACCTCTCCAAGACAATGCTCAACATGTAAAGTTTTCTTTTTCTTTTTGTTTTTTTGTAAAGTTTTCTTAACATTAAGAAAATAGTATAATCCTGCTTCTTTGTCCCTTCAGTGAGGAGAGACTTGCAAAGCCAAAGTACCTTGATATCTATTATCTGTTGATTGTCCCTTGTGAGCCTTTCTTTTTTAAGAAAGTCTGGAAAGACAGCATCTCATTCTTTATTAGATTTGACCAGAACTCAAATCTGGGATGCCTGTAACAATTATAGCTTAGAAAAATCATAATGAG